TGGTCATATTCTAAGTTTATTGATGCTGGAGAGACAGTTGGTATAAGAAACAACAAACTTTAAATGATCAGGAAGAGCGTGATAATATTTGCAAATTAGCAGGTAAAATACTATTCGAAGATATCCGAAAACAGGTTCACAATACGGACAGTTATCCTGCGCCAGAGAATTTTGTTGATCAGGTTAATGGTGATATATCGCGGTCTCTCTAGTTATTATTAAGAGAAATTATTCTCAAAAACAAACGTAACCCACTTGAATTGGAGCCGTTAATTGTAACTCTAGCACACATAATTATTTCTGCTACTCGTCTGAGATCAATTTTTATCACCTATCCTTATCGGATTCGATGCTATGTTTGACAAACTTTATGGGTCCTGGGAGCTTGTACAAACTTTGAATGCTGCAGACCTATGTGCATCGTATGATGAAATTCGTTTATTTGAAGCTTCATGATTAAATCATTCGGGAAGTGAGGGAAAAAAGAAACCTATGAAGATGATTTCATCCAGATGGTTTTTGACAACGCTGACCATGACATACGAACAATTGAAGGATGAAATACTTTTCATGTAGAAGGCGGTATAGATATACTTACACCTGCAAATGTAGTTTCTGCGAGTGAATGGGTGCTACAGTTGAAAAAACTACCGAAATCATTCGATTTAGGTAAATTTGGTAAAATTAATTTAAAATATATAAAATAATACGAATGTAAAAAGGTATTGAAAAATGTTGATGTACTCGATTTAAATATGTTCTCTAAAGTCGATCACGTAGTAAAAATACGCGCCACAAATTTACCATGGTTATTCGGGAAAATTAAATATCCAAAAAATTTTAAGGGCTGGAACGGGTTTATGGAACATGTTATGCAACATCAACATTATGCTAAAAGTAAAATTAGATTCATCCCATTATCATTAATAATCCGACTAGCGATTATGATACTTTGTTTACTGCTTTACGGATGGCCGAAGACAAACGTAAACTGCTTGGTCAGAAAGATATATTTGTCATCTTTGACGAACCACAATTTCGTAAAGCTAGACGAATTTCACAAGTATGTTGGAATAAGGGCGACTTAACTTATGTGCATACAAGCTTAGATGGCTTACATTTGCTCTTTTCTTTCTTAAAATCAATCGATTTCATTATAAATGGCAGCGGCCTCCGAGATCTATTTAGCAAAATTTACGCCGAAAAATCAATTGACAAAATTTTTATAGTCGATCCATAAAGGGACATACATTGTCACATTTAGCTTTAGGTCGATTAATTCATTTTAATATAGACTGGACGGCAGACGAAGATATAGTACATTACGATACAAGTGCGGGAAAGTAGATTCTTGTCTCGTGTGGCGTTTACACCCGAGCGAGGTGAGGGTGGAAAGGTACACGAGACGAGAAACTCTTTCCCGAACATGTGCCGTACCGTATTTTTTTATATGACGTATGGAAAGTGTGATTTTCAACGCACGTTTTCTACCGAATGTAGGAAAGACGCACTTTGCGCACGGAGTATCGAAAAGTTATTTACTGAAATTCTAGGCGATTTCAATAACATAATAAATAAAATTGACGATGAAAAATTCGTAAAAACAGATGTAAAATTTGTCAATCACTTTGAAAATTTAAAAAAAAGAGGACCAACTGTAAAACTTTAGAGCGTTTATTATGATTTAGTTACCTTAGTGAAACAATTTATAGAAGCTGAGCGGTTAGGTAATTGGGAGTTACATTTGCACATTGTGCGTAAGATGCTTCTTTTCTTTCATGCGACCGGACATTTCAATCATGCAGAATCTGCCCACATATACCATCAGAATTTATATCAATTCGAAAAAAATGGACAAACGGAATATGAAAAGTTTCTAAAGGAAGGATATTTCACGGTTAGAAGATTAGAAAAATATTGTGGGATCTAGTCGGATATGGCCATCGAGCAAATATTGATACGTTGCATAAAAACAAGAGGTCTTTTAACACGCGGGAGAGGTGTAAGTGAGGCTGTGCTAGCAAAATTTATTTTAAATATGCCATCGTTAGCTGCTCTTACCGACGTTATTCATTCTTTTTATAACGTTACTTTTGCTTCGTCAGAACAGTATATAAATGCTCGACCCAGCAGAATTGAACGTGACGCTGAAGATTTAGAAAATTATTCGAATTTTTTATAACCTACAATCCTTTTCCAAGATCAAATAAAGTAACTTGTATAACGTCGGGTAGAGAAGGCAATGACAAAGTCAACGTCTATATGTTAGCAAAAATATAGGGTTAAATTTAATAGAGGGCATTATAGAATTTAGAAATTTTTAATTTAAACGAGCGCATCGAGTCGTATCTTTGCAAAGTGCCAACGCTATAAAAATCATTGGAAAAGAAGTAATTATTAATTCGAATCTAATTTTTAAAAGGATAATGCACGTATGGATAAAAAGGCCGAACTACGAAGTTATTTTGAAAACGAGTTAGCGCCATTCCCATTATCTATTTTTAACAACACTTTTTTTCGCAAAACCGAGAAATCAAAATTATATGACGCTTTTACACCACTGAATGAAATGCCACATAATTATATCGATGTTATCGACGGAGGTTTTCTTAATGCATAAAGTAGTGTGGCCGAAAGATGTAACTTATGATGAGATCATGAATTGTTACGTAGAAATCCTTAAAAATTACAGACAATAGTTGTATAATTTTTTATGAGTACCCAGATGCAAAAGAAAAATCAACCAACATTATAGAGCGGCAGCATAGGCAATTAAAATACTCTACTACAATAATTTTTTGAATTGAAAATGATAGCCAGTGTTGCACAAGAAAATTTTTTCGCCAATGAACAGAACAAAAAAAAGATTTATTGAGAAATTACGGATAGTTAGAACAGACCGGTTACAGAACAAAACAAGTCGTTGAAGACGCTGATAGAATGATTGTGGAAACGGCATTAGAAATAGCGACCGATGAAAAACTAGCTATTATAATAGCTGAAAGATTTTGACATTTTAGTTATTCTAACATTACTTGCCTAGAGTGATAGGAAACTTTATTTTTTGAAACCAAGTAAAGGGACTATTGAAGAAAAATTGTATAGCTGTGACAGTTTTACTTGCCCAAATTTAAAATATTTAGTAGGATTTATACATGCAATGACTGGCTGTGATACTACCTCGGCTTTTTACGGTTACGGGAAAACTAAAATAATAAAATTACTTAGTGATAATGAGAATATTGTAGAAAAAGCTCTAATTTTCAATGACAAGGACGCTGACAAAAAAGAAATAGAAAATGCTAGTCTTTCAATTATTGCAGCTATGTATAGTAGAACATACAATAATTTAAATTTAAATGAATTACGGTATCGATTGTTCAATAAAAAATCCCATAACAAATCATTTCAATCAGTTTCGTTACCTCCAACGGATTCAGCATGTATACCGCGTTTATTTTAAAATATAAGATTGGTTGGCTATCGAGCTTAATCCTGAAGAGTGGGGTTGGGTACTAAAAGAAGGTAATCTAGAGCCTATTTACGGTCGAAAGGATGTTGTACTAAGACTTTTTGAAGGACATGAGTTGTAATTGCAAGAAAGGATGTAGCACGAGATGTAGTTGCGTTAAGCATGTTGTTTTGTAATTGTACTTCATTAATTTAATTACATAGGAACTTCAATTAATTAAACATTTCTGTTCTTAACTAATATTTTCTCAAATTAAAAAATAAATTGCCTTATTCAAAAAAATTAGATTCATATCTATCGTGTAATTTTTTTCAACAACAGATTATCTTATGAGATAAACAACTAATGAGGTACACTTATTCTATATATTTTTGTAATATCGGCCATCTCAAAAAAATTTTTTATATTTTGTAGTTTTATCTTTCAAATCACCCAGGGCATAGTGATTTTCAGAAACTTACCTGTGTATTTTGTTCAATATTAAATGCAGACTAATGATTTAATTATTTGTTAATTATATTATAAATATAATTATTCTATATGGACATTCAACTTAGGAAATATTGAGTATAACGTAGTTTAATATTTACAAACGACAAAATTTATTAATGTTTATACAATAATCGCACGCAGCATTCAACTTCTCATGTAAAATTAATAAACTCCTCCATCATATACCGATAACTTCAGGGTCAATGACGAACTTTCAAATTACCCGAAGATTTGAGCATGCTTGAATGTAAGCAATGATTTTCTTTTAGAGGAAAACATGTTTGAACTATTACGCGTTGATATCAGTAACATCTTGAATAAAGTGAGAAGGTATTGTATTTTTCTGCAGTTTTCCGATGGTTTTCTTAATAATATCTCTACAATTTATTATTTACATATCATTATTTAAATCTCATTATATTTCTCATTCAAGAATAAATGAAAAATGGGGAATTTGCGCTTTGATTCAGGGTCGCGTATTGATCGTCAATGTTTCAAACATTCACTTCCAAAAGAAAATGCATAAACAATAACATATTTCTGCCTCGGATATTGCCAAAGGTCAAAGGTGAATTTTTGTATTACACTAACAACGTATAATCATGATTCTTACGGATTCTGGTTCCCCTTTTATGAAAGTATCAAAAATATCCTTTCTAGTACTCGTGCCCCAACAGACAACAGAAAACGGTCTTGAAGTCAAATTATTAAAAGCTAAAAATACATAACTAACTTATCTTACACAGCTCACCTACTTTCTGAGCAGTTTACACGACTAAACTTTGTTCTGATCCCTTTCTTCTCGCCATGAATAAATCGATAATACATAATAATAATAATAATAATAATAATAATAATAATAATAATAATAATAATAATAATAATAATAATAATAATAATAATAAAAGTAATAATAATAACATTTAACAGTAATCGCAGTAATAGAAATAATGAAAGTGGTAATAATAATAGTAATATTAATAATGTATTCACCGTCTCACTAAAGCGCTCAGTGGAGTTGACTGAATATCAATAAAACTTCATAACGAACTGATTAATAATGGAAATCTACAAATATTTCAGAAATATACAATAAACAATGTATTTTTTGTTCAATTTTGTTTCTTTATGAAAGCGTTAGCAGAAAGAGAATAATTAATCATAGATACGACGTTAAGATAATAACTTGTATCATTGAATCTTATGGCGATTCTTTCCAATGTCTCTTAGATTTATGAGTAGTAGTATTTGACGATTTGAATTCGTACGTAACTGTCTTTTATGATCATTTTTTACAGTACCATGTGTGGTCAAAAGATAATTCGTCAAAAATTGCTATCTTTGTTTGCGTGTAAATTATCAACACATCACGGACTAGTGGCCACCTTGACTAGCTTGTTTTCCATGAACCACGATTTGAGTTCCCTGTATCCACTTTTAGTCACATGACAATGCTACGGCAACATTTTTGACCTGCTGCAGCCGTCGATAGACTTTCGTAACAAATCATTTCAGTGCCTCGCTGCTTTCCCAAGCACTCGGTTCACATCAATCACCAGGATGTTCTGGGCAACTGCGATTCACTTGGAACCATTTGTCTATGCAACTATGATAGTAAAATAAAATAACATTTATAAAACTGTTCAAAAAAGGAATGCATGTAATTTTAATTGCACTTCACTCGACTAAAATAAAACATTAAAACATTAAATATGTACAAGAAAAAAATCTACCTTTTGTGGTATATGCACAGGCAGGGCAAACGAGCTATCACATCACCAGGTTGAAGATCTTCTAAGCAAATAACACACTCTCCCTTTTCATCCGCAAGTACATCCTCTACAAAATAAAATAATAATAATAATTAAGTGCAAATATCTTAATATAGGTATCATTTCTGTTAGTGGCAACATTTCTTAAATTAAACGTTTTTTCGACACTCCGTGCGGAAAATGCGTTTTTCCTGCACGCTCGGCAAAAAACGTGCGTTGAAAATCGCACTTTCCACACGTCGTATCAAAAAATACGGTACGGCACGTGTTCGAGAAAGAGTTTCTCGTCTCGTGTACCTTTCCACCTTCGGTTCGCTCGGGCATAAACGCCACACGAGCCCAGAATCTATTTTCCCGCACTTGTATCGTAATGTACTATATTATATGCTTGGTATACAGTTTAGGATAAGACAACTTAAAACAGGATACAACGCTACTACAATGGGGCATAAATCATTAATATAGAAATATATCACTTAATCCAAAAGGTACTTTTAATTTAATGAAATTAAACTACATAAACTTTAATAATGGTGTTACAAATTCACTTTTGGTTGACAAAATAAATTTTGAATTCTTATCTAAAGGTTTTTAAAAATTAAACAATAGGTTATATAAATAAATTATAAAATACATAATGTTTTAATACAATGTATTTTGCAAGCAAAAAGTTATTAATTCTGCCACTGACTGTCTGTAAACTATACATGGAGCATTTATGCTATTTGCATTAACAGCACAAGTAAGATATATAAGGATGAATAAACTCAGCAGGAAATCGACAAAAATCACTATGGAAAAATTTCAAAAAAACTGCGCATAATTGGCAAAGATAGTTAAATTCAGCTCAATATAACAACCTCAATATTGAACACTCCTAGATCACATCCTAGTAATTTTTAAATCTTTTTCAATAAATGTCAATTATAATAAATTAGCTTCTACAAAAACTTGAAAACCTTCAGAATTTTAAGTTCAACCTTCATTAAGGTCAGTCACCTAGAATCCTTGATTTGAATTATACAATTTTCAGTATATTACTATACATTTGTCAGTGAATATTATGTAAATTAGATATCGTTTTATTTGCATTCATATATTTAATCTAAAAATGTAATAAATTAAAGAATGCATTTAAATCCTATTCTATAGTTATCTAGTTTTAATCTCAAATAAACATGCATAAAAAACAATGTTATTAATGTAGCTATTATTATGGAAAATATATTATGAAACTTACCATTATAGCTAAGACGAGGCTTAGTTAAACACATAACCAGGTGACATTCTATGTCATCTGGCAAAATAAATTTTGAACATACTGGACATTTCAAACCTGAAAAAAAATGAAGAATGCAATGGAATAACATTAGCCGTTAACGAACTGATTAACCTTTAGAGGGCCGGAGAATCAATATATTGACGCTACCCCCGATTGACACTTTCCCTATGATCAACCAATAATATAAGATATTTTTTATACCAGTTTTCTGAGGGCGATATGCCCCTGAAAATCCCGGCCCTCTAAAGGTTAAAGTGTAGTCATATTATATGAGAAAAAAAAATACCATAAAAGACTCGTCTAACCGCGTGCGCAGGTACAACCTCTGTTTCAGATTCATGCAAACACGAACTTATTATTACTCCCATAGTAAAACACAATATAACTAATTCACCCATTGCAATGTTCAAGAAAACGTCAGCGTTTCAGCTGACATTGCATATTATTCATTTATTTAGTATCATAATACAATAAAGCGAAACATTTAGAGAAATAAAAAGAACTTTCACACTTGGTAAGATTATCCATCGATTGCCGGTTACCAAGCCAACTACTCCAGCAACGCGCACCAAAACAAACTCCCCTCCTGTGACCCTTGTTCTACCCACAATTATTTACTTCTCTACTCTCCGCATTTGATTTACCTACCACACTTAGCCCCTTCTCCTATTTCATCTTTTTTCAAGTGCTCATGTGTTTGGCATTTCGTGCAGATTCCCTAGTGAGCGGAATTTTACAAACATAACCTCAATATGACCCCAGTAGAACAATCCTTTTAAATAGGAAAATCTTATATAGATTAACCTGATACTATTAAAAATGAAATGATATTGACATTTACCTATCAAACTGCTATCAACATTGTAAATATAAAATAATTACATCACCATTGATTTAGCAATGGTTACAAATATTGCACCACAGCAACGTAAAAGAATAAATATAGAATCAAGAACCAAGCTTACAAATACAACTTTTGTTTATTTAGTAGAAATAAGTAAAAATAAGAAAAATAAGATAAAATTATAACAAATTGATTAAAAATATTGCATAAAATTCATAAATAAAATTTCATAATATATATTAACATCAATAATTACATTCAACTTTCTACTGATTTTTATAAAAGTTGAACCTTACTTACCATTTAGGGACCAAATGTGAGAAGGCAAACTATGTGCGGCGTAAACTCTACTACTTTCCTCATCTAAATCTTCTCCGTCTAATTGTGGTAGTCCTAAGACTTGGCCTACACCTACTGCCGAAGCAAGAGCACCTTGATCAGCAGATAAATCAGGAACAGAACTCAAAGATCTTGCTCTTTGTCTACTATCGGCTGATACTCTCGATGATTGAGATTGATTAGCTTGCTGATGCTGTAGCATTCCAACTCCACCTGGTAATGAACGTAGAGTTGGAAAACCTGGCATAGTGGTTTCATTTGCTCCTGTGGTAGATTGGCCATTGCCACTAGTATTTTGTGTAATGGTGCTGGTCTTTGCACCCATTCCTCTTCCTTCAAAGCGAGAATCTTGCTTACAGCTCTGCAAATACCAAGATAAAGTTTCAATTGGTTTATTCAAATTATTTAAATCAACAAAAATCAAGCTTCTTTGTTAAGGTTTAGTTGAACATGGAATTAATTAATTTTAGGAGTTACTATTTTTAAGACTGCATTCATGTGAGTAATATTTTAAATAAACCAATTACTTTGTAAACTGAAATTAGTGTGATAGCATATTACAAATATAAAATCTGAAAGGAAGTATAAAAAGAAGCCAAATGCAAAATGCAGAAAAATGTAAAAAAAATGTTCTAACCTTGATAAACAAGACGATGCTCGAAATCTTTATTTTATCGATGAAGATTGCGGTGCGTGTGAATTGCACTGTCGACGGAGACAACGACGTCCAAAGGAAGAGTAGAGAGTAGATGATCAAGAATAGCCGCCTTTTGGTGCGAGTATCGTGGAAAAGCCTGGCAGTCGAAACGTGCTATACGCACTTTGCATCAGTCTCTCTCTCTCTTTCTCTCTTTCTCTCTCTCTCTCCCTCTCTCCCTCTCTCTCTCTCTCTCTCTCTCTTTCTTTCGCTTGTTCTCGTTGTTCTCTCGTAGTCTCGCACTATCTCTTATTCCGTCTTAGCTATATTCCATGAAAGACCGCGGTTCCTAAGAGTCATAGGCCGAGAAAACGAGGGTCTTGGCAATGACTGAAGCGAATAAATTCTCGCTATTTTTCTTAACTACAGCCGGTGCTACGTTAACTCTCGGTGTATGCTTGAGCGCTGACCTTTGTTTTTGGATCAGAGATGAGATGAAAGTCGTGCGTGCGAGAACACGATACTATACTTGACGGTCTGTCTTATTTGCCTTTTTCAAACTGTTGTCACCAACCTCAGCATATCCGGTCATAGGCTATATAGTTGAGTGTTGTTTTTGCCTTGCCGAACACAAAATCGTTGTAACCGTTCGTGGGACAAGAATATAATTCAGTAGTGATATCTCGCGCACAAAGGCTAAACCTGAACACTGAATAACTGATGGACTTGCGGTAGGCCGTAGGATGTACGTAGATGTACACTGTATATATAGAAGCTGAGGTTTATAGGTTTGATTTGATGGTTTCGGAAAATTTAACATACGTACAAGAGAGAAAGATATTTAGCTAACAGCGATTGTAAGCAAAAGACTAAATGCTGAGCAAAAATGTGGGAGGCGTTTTAAGACTCGCAAGAGTAGGCACTCTCGCAGCACTTGATTCCGTTTGGCAAGCTACGCACTTTCTTATAGTAGCCTTAAACCATAACTATGATTTGGCGAAGACTCGAGGCGTGCTCGAGCGACGACTCATTGCACGAATGAACTCGTAAAAGCAGCCGCTGCACGTTCCGCAAAACATCCCCCGACATCTTGGCGATATGCGCGCGATAAAGCCATGCAAGTGTGCGTGTAACGGACAGACGCATATACAAATACATCCGCCCATACAAACTCGTTCCTCGTATACGATGTACTTTATACATACATAACGCATATATATACTACATAGCGGCTGCGCTGTTGCCGCTGCATTTGGCCTGTATGTTTATATATATATAAATTTCTCTGCTGCTGTGGAGTCATTAAGGTATTCGATGTATCGTTCGATATTGTTAGACAGAACATAGGTAAGGCCTTTCCAGGTCTAGCAGGAGCGGGATTTTATAACTTTTGGTACGTGTACGGTACAATCAGAGCGCGCTTCACGCAGTACGGTACCGCGGTGTACTAATCAAAGTTGAAAATATTGACCGTCTCGGAAGGCACAAATTTTGAATTTTTCATTAGGCTCTCTCCAAATAAGATTCAAGGATCAAATTGTCAAAAACCGCGCGATATTTTGCCACAGTCCGCTGTTTCGCTCTGTTCCAATTCTGTACTAACAATAGCTAAAAGCAATCTGGCAATAAGGGTCTGTCTCCATAGGGCCTGCCTGAGTCCGTCCGAGCCGGCCGAGATTTTTTATGGGCACGCCATCTCTATAATTTCGTGTTCATGCGTTTCTCGTATTGGCTGCGTCCGATCGGGCTCGTTTATGTAAACGCAGCCATTCACTATGAAACTCGCCATTGGATACGAAATTATAGAGATGGCGTGCCCATAAAAAATCTCGGCCGGCTCGGACGGACTCAGGCAGGCCCTATGGAGACAGACCCTAACGTTATGATATGTCGAGGTCGGAACATGTAAACACAGTTGATTAGAAGAAAGTAACTAATTAATTTACGAAATTAACTTCTTTATTGTTATTGTTATTTTGTGTAGTTTTATAGATCAACATTATTTTTATTTAACACTGTTTTTCTTCTAATCAACTGTGTTTACTTATTCTGACCCCGACGTATCACAACGCTATTGACAGATTGCTTTTAACTATTGTTAGTACAGAATAGGAACAGAGTGAAACAGCGGACTATGGCAAAATACCGCGTGGTTTTCTGACCCTCGGATCTTATCTGGAGAGAGCCTTACAGAAAACTGATACACTTCATAAGTTATTCTCACCATACTTTGAATTGTATTGGTCGGACTTTAGTAGATGTTTACTCTTGGCAAAACAACTTGCATATTAAAATTTTACGTAATAGAAGGTGATTTCGATTTACTATTTGGACGTGGATGTTACACCTAATATTAAGTCGTAATCACCTTCTATTACGTAAAGGTTCAATAGATAAGTTATTTTACCAAGAGTAACATCTGCTAAAGTTCGACCAATATAATTTAAAGTATGGTGAAAATAACTTATGAAGTGTATCAATTTTCTATAATGAAAAATAACCTTTAAAATTTCGCACAATATGCGAACTGATAAGACCACAGGAAGCAACAGTGTCTAATTCCATAAATAAACTATGACCATTGACCATTGACAGGTTAAGGTTAAAGTTAATTAACATTGGCAGTCACATATTTTAGGTGAAATTCGTATTTTTTATCGTTTCAACTTCAAATTTGTCTATAAGTATGTCTTATAGTGCATTGAATACAAGAAAAATAGAGAAACTGATGAAAGGATTCCTTTGACCTCGAAAAAATATTTTCGATGTTAAGGATTACTCTAGAATTTTTCGACACTTTTGTCTATATTTTACACGCCAAATTTTGCTATAAAAAACATCGAATATTGATATGTATGTATACATACATGGTCCCAAAAAAGACCATCCCCGTCTTCCAAAACTCAATACGAATAATTTTAGTATATTCTATAATGTAATCAAATACATATAATGTTTTTGCAAAACGTATATTGCTGCAACATTTTTAGAAACAATTTTTGCTGCTTGCGATTTCAGGACTTTCTACATAAGAGCTTTCGGACGTTGGGCGTCGGACATGTACCGAGATGAAAAAATAAATAAAACAACGAATAAGACATAAGCGGAAATGTATAAATGGTAATTGATGGAGGCAAGGGCACCGCAGGAAATCAAAAGGCTTAATTTTGTCACAAAATAATCTTTTGTTGAAGATATATGCATATGTACATACAATGCCAGATAATCTAACAATAATATTAGTTGAAACTTCGATTATAGATTATGTAAATGTAAATGAAATAAGCAAACTATGTATTTTTCATACTTTTTTACTTTGGTACACGTCAGATGTCTAATGACCGATGGCTCTTGATGTAAAAAGTGACTATTAAGAAACAACAATTTTCCCATGAAATAAATCTGATTCATACACATTTTTTAAATATTTTTTATTACATTGATATTACTTAAAAATTTGATTAATTAAATTTATAAATTAATTCAATAATTTTGGTTATTTTCGTAGGATACAATTTTTTGATTGCATAAATGAATACAATTCCCATCAGTTGAATGTGAAACCATGTCAACTACTTACCATATTCTATATATTTAATTCATTTCTATTAAATATTATAACAACTAAGTAATAATATTATCATTTTACCGGTATCACTTTCATTGTTTCCTTTTTGCAAATTTTGTATTCTAGATTTTTAAACAAAGTCAATGTTTTTTGCATTGACTAGTATCGCTGCTGCGTTTCACGCGTAACTTAATTTTGACACGTAAACTTGGTTACCATCATCCGATTTCAAATGTTGACATGGAATCCCAGTATCTCACCCCTGCAGCGCGAGGCACCTTGGCTGACTCGGCTCTCTTGGTTTGCCTATGCTCTGGCTGTGTATTGCACTCTATGCAAAATCAAAGTAACCTAACTTGTACATATTTTTATTAATTCGCACACATAGTTTATTTTTTATGATAAAAAAGCATGGGTTCAAACTTGTCTCAAAATGTAAATATTATTAAACTGAAATAACCATGTGTTTGTGTAGTAATTCAATCATGCACAAGTGAATGAATAAGGCGAACAATTTGGTACTCGACAGTTACGAGTATGACGACGGAAAAGTAATGTGAAAAAAAATTGTTCATATATTTTACGCTTTAAATTAATATCAACACAATGGCGGATAAAGGACTAATGAAAGTAAGTTTCACAATTTTTGCCGAGTTAGTAGACTCGATTTACTTGTTGGCCAACTTAACCTAATTTTTGTATTCCTAATTATTCTAGCAACTAACTGAGCAAAAGCTCAAAGCATTTTCGATTGGTACCATGGGTAAACGACAAATAAGTAAAAAAGAACTTGAAGAACAACGAAAGAAAGAACAAGAACAAGCTGCTGCTCAAGCTTTTGAAGAATTTGTTGCAACATTCCAAGAGACTCCAAACAAAAATGCAAACAAAGTGTGGGTAAAGGCCGGGGTTTATAATGCAGGAAAACGAGGTTGATAAAAATAAATAATTTAAATTAACTTTTATACCTAAATATAAATACTTTATTAGTTTCAAATTATCAATATAATTTGCAGAAGAAGATGTAAGGGAAAAGGGAAAGTTATATAAACCTCAACCTAAGATGGGAGATCTTGCTGAGACTCGTTCAACGTCAGAACAAGCTCAAGAATTTGCAAGAATTCTTAGTGAACGAAAGATAGATAGACTTGGCAAGAAGAAAAAAGAAGGTGAAAAGAAAAAAAGTAATCTTGAATTATTTAAAGAAGAATTGAAAATGATCCAAGAGGAAAGGGAAGAACGTCATAAATACAAAGGAGGCAGTAAAACTTCATCACTATCCCAAGATGATTCCATAATCCCTAGTTTGAAACTAACTGAAGGTAAATTCCATGATGACCAAAAATTTAGTTAAAAATTTACATATGTACAATTAATGTAAGTATTTTTATTTCATAATTAATTAAAAAATTTCAGGCCCTTTTATAACAGATGGATCATTTGATAATGGAGATCCAAACACTACAAATTTGTATTTAGGAAATTTGAATCCAAAGGTAACAATAATAGTTTCACAATTAAAATTACTGTTTAATCTTCTATAGTAAAAATACTCAATTAATAATTTTTAGATAACAGAACAGCAGCTTATGGAAATTTTTGGCAAATTTGGTCCATTGGCCAGTATCAAGATTATGTGGCCTCGAAGTGATGAAGAGAAAGCTAGACAACGAAATTGTGGTTTTGTAGCGTTTATGAGTAGAAAAGATGGAGAAAGAGCTTTAAAAAATCTCAATGGTTTCAACAATTCTAATCATTTCAGCAAATCCAATATTTTAATAATTTGAGTAACATAAAATTCCATCCATTTAAAATCGAACAGGTCGTGATATAATGCAATATGAAATGAAACTAGGCTGGGGCAAAAGTGTTCCTATACCACCATATCCAATATATATTCCTCCGGCACTGATGGAAATCACTCAACCACCACCACCATCTGGACTACCATTCAATGCGCAACCTCACAAACGTGATAAAAATAAGGTATTGTGAGTTTTGAATATTGTAGGAATACTTTATTGAATACTTTATTTTTATTAAATAGGTATAAAGAATTTAATTGATTTATATATTTTTCAATAAATCAAATGATAATAATAGTACAATAAATATTTAATATTAAAATAGGAAAACAATTATTCAAAATGTATTAGTTAATTAATTAAATATATTATTCTATGCTCTTTAAATATTATGATGACCATAATCAACTCTTTTTAGAAAATGTATTATAAAAATGATCTGTGTAAATTTTATGAAATATACTCATTTTTCACATTAAAAAAAATTATGATTTAAAAGTTTCCACAACCATTTTGAAATCAGATAACTTTTTAATATTTCTAATGACATCACCTATTACTAAATTAAGTACCAAACTATGAAAATCTATATTTTTTGTAGATACCACGCATTCGCAATTTTCAGAACATGGATTCAGAAGAAAAAGAAAACTTTGAAAAGGTGAGTGTATTGCAATATAATATGATTTTTTCACAATATTAAATTGATACAAAACTTGATTATCAGTCAATATAGATATTAAAAATATATTATTAAAATCAATTTCAAATATTTTGTATTTCAATAATACATTTAAAAAAATGAAATGTATTGTACTATGTTTATAAAAAAAAGTTTCTGTTATATTGAATAACTTTTATAAATTTGTTTCATTGTCATTTGGCCACATTTGTTTCTGAAACGATCAATTTGATTACAACTGCTACATTAATGTTGGAATTCGTTTCATCTGCTATTTTAAATCCACTAATGGCAATAGATTTTACAAAATGCTGTCGTCAAAGTTGTGATTCCAACAGAAAGGTATGTTCGTGTTTGTTTCATGAAATAAGAATGTTCTAACAGTAGAAAATTTTAATATATTAAAATTGTTAAGAGGTTACTTTTTTTTTATCTGTTCATTAAAAATCTATCATGATAGAATTTAACAGCTCAAAAGAAAATTAGTAAAGTAAATTAGTCATAAGATATACCTTTAAGGATCTTTGAAAATCTTTTGAACAAATACATGTAATCGTTGATAATAATTGTGATTATGTGTATATTTATTACAGAAATTTAGTTATGTTAATTCATAGAATGGTGGAATTTGTTGTCAGAGAAGGACCAATGTTTGAAGCTATGATTATGAATCGAGAAATTAACAATCCAATGTTTAGGTAATGTTAAAGTATACATTAAAATGAAAAATATAAAAAATTATTTTGACTTAATAATCAAATTACCTTTTTTCCTAATTTATTTTAGGTTTTTATTTGAAAATTATTCTCCAGCGCATATTTATTATCGTTGGAAATTATACTCTATTTTACAAGGAGATGCCCAAAAAGAATGGAGAATAGATGATTTTAGAATGTTTAAGGGAGGTAGTGTATGGCGTCCACCACCTATGAATCCATGGACTCAAGGAATGCCAGATGAACTTATTGAAGTCGAAGAAAAGCATGAACCTCGAAGAGGAAGTCTTTCAAACTGGTAATTGAAATATGATTGGTTAATTACTTCAGTTTGTCTAATTTTATGAATTTTTTAAAATAAGCATATTTTTTCAGTCAAAGAGATCGTTTAGAAGATTTACTGCGTAATATAACTCCTGAAAGAATTAAAGTGGCAGAAGCAATGGTTTTTTGTATTGAACATGCAGAAGCAGCTGAAGAGATTTGTGATTGTATTGCAGAATCTCTATCAATCCTGCAAACTCCAGTAAACAAAAAAGTAGCTAGATTATACTTAATATCTGATATTTTACACAACTGTGGAGTTAAAGTAACAAATGCTACAATTTACAGAAAAGCGTAAGTGATTGCAATCATGATTTAATTGCAATATCTACTTTATTGTTCAGAAAAACGAGAATGATTGGTACAATTAATCCTCTTCACAAATATATCAGAGAAAAACTGATATCTATTATATTTTTTGTAATTAAAATTAAACATGCAACTCGAAAATTAATAATTCCTTCGAGGGATTACTGACTTTTCTCATCTCTCATTCTTTAATTACATTGTTTATTGAAAAAAATGTTGACTTTCATTCTTTGTGCCACGATATACTATTTTTTTCTAATTTAAAATATCGAATACTAAAAATAGAAATTTTTATAATCTCGGATTTAGATTTGAGACAAGATTATTGGATATTTTTAATGAAGTTCATCAAGCTTATAAACAGTTAGATAGTAGATTGAAAGCAGAGGGTTTTAAAGTACGCGTAATGAAAACATTTAGAGCATGGGAAGAGTGGGCCGTTTATCCAAGAGATTTTTTGGTGAAACTTCAAAATACTTTCCTAGGTTTAAACCAGGTAATAAGCTCATTTACAATCATCGACTATTGTTCATGCGGTTAAATGATACAAAATAAACGTTACGTCACTTTTTATAGTGCGATGACGTTGAACCAGATAACGAAGAAGATATTGATGGAGCTCCGTTGTCAGATGTCGATAATGATGCAACCGAAGATCTGGATGGTGTCCCTCTGGATGGTGCTGCATTATTAAAAGGCGCTATGAAACATGGGCTTACTCCTCAAACTTCAAATTATGATGACATTGATGGCGTACCAAGTAAATACTATCATTTTTTATTTGACTTATCTGTGACAAAATTTTCATTTCTTGTATTTACATTTTTTATTCAAGTGGATGATGATATTGATGGTGTACCTATGGACGACGATGATAGTTTAAGCTCGAAAGGCAAAGATGATAAGAAAATTAATATGCCAGCTGGGTTTGTACCCTCGAGGTGGGAAACTGTAGATCCTGATCAGGTTGAAGCTCAAGCAATGACAACCAGTAAGTGGGAAGAACTCGAACAAAATGATGACTCGAACTCACAAGATACTAGTATGGACTCTAGGTATGACTGCAATTAAAATATTCGTTATTAATATTTGTCGAAAATGCCTGCATTATATTACATATGTATTTTTTCGTGACAGTAGGGATTATAACGAAGAAAGACGAAATAGATTACGCGAGATTGAAGTTAAAGCTATGCAATATCAAGACGAATTGGAAAGTGGTAGGAGATCTTTAAAGCCAGGAATGACTATACAATCTCAAGTAGAACATTATCGAAAAAAATTAATAAAAAAGGTATATTACACAAGAATAATGTTACATTCAGAAAATAACACTTAAACGGCTTATAATTTGTTTCCATTATAGAGTGAAAGAGATGCAAAAGAAAATAAAAGCGAAGATAGGGATGACGATAGGCGACGAGATAAAAAACGAAGCCCTTCTCCAGATTCGCCAACCTATTATAGAGATAGGAGGCGGGGGTCCCAAAGTCCACCGTCAAAAGGAAGTAGTCGTTACAGGTATGATAGAGACGAAAAGTTTTCCAATAGGTGTATATGATTACAAACATTAATGATTAATAGAGCAAAAGCAGTTTCACGAAATAATTTACTTGAATCTACAAATTTAGAAAATGTGATTGCGTTGAAAAAAAAGAACTTCCAAATTTTTTAAATTTCCATGAATTACTAATTAAATTGTACATACATCAACGAGACAAACTGACACAAAAATATAAGCTGTATACGTAACATACTGTCTTGATTCTCTTAAAGTTTTCTTAAATGATAAATTTTGTAATAATGGAAAGAAGGTGAAAGATGGAAATTCACTTAATTTTAATTATATTCAGCTTTATAAGCTGTATATCTTTTTTAATTTACATTGGATCTTGCAATTATTTCAAAAAATTTCAGCAAATAACGATAATCTTATTACAAAAAAATTAATTTCAAAGTGAAGTGATTTCAAACAGCCGTCTATTTCTCTGACTTGCAGTTGAAGCATATGCTGATACTATAATCAGTAATTTTACAGTATTATTATTATTATGATTATTTATAAGAACTGTTCCATCAAATAAAACGAGTAGTAGATATTAATAATTTATTTTAATATAATTACATATCCTTAAATTACATAGTTCCAAAAAACAAGTATTTGTTATCAGTATGATTAAAAATCAAATCGATCCGCAATCGAATCAATGAGCAACAATAATGATAAATTTTCTTTTTATATCTACTAAACAGGTCTCGCAGTAGATCTCCCCGAACTAAAAGACGATCACGTTCACCCCATAAAAAACGAGCTCCGCATACACCTTCTCCACCAAGAATTCGACGTTCACCGTCGCCTAGTTTTTCCTCGAGATCCTCATCAAGAAGGTCACCTGGCAACGATCGGAAAAGGCGCCAACGCTCGCCTTCCTCGTCTCCTACGTCTGTTTCAAGGTCATCAATGAAACACAGAGCTGGTAGTCCCGCTTCACCAACGCCTCGAAAACATCGCCATAAACACAAGTATTAAAATCTGTCACTTATCGCTAAATCTATACTTATGCGGTAGATATGTATTGAAATTGGTATTGAAATACATTTATAATAATTATCGCATTCGATGCTATTATTAAAAAAAACATTAATTATTTGTTTTACGACGATGCTCTTGAAAACTTATTTACAATATGGAAAATATGATGTTTGACATGATAATTATTGCAAATCGTTTAATTTCAGATAATTAATTAGACATCATAAAAATTTTTTCTCATATCCATATCTTGTAAGTTCCAAGTGAAATACTTTTATTATAACTCTTTTTACAATTTAACAATAGTTGTTACGATAATCTCTTGTATATAGCATTATAGAGTTCATCGATTCAACTTCGTTGAATAATTTCCGTAATCATTTTGAAATTTGGATCAAAGAATAGTACCTCAGATTTGATAATGAATTAATGTATCATTTAATTGTACTTGTATCAAATAAATTCTTTTGATAATGTACTATCATGTCCATTATCAGATAATCATTTAATTACTGATATTTTGTTATTACTTTATTTATAATAATATTAATATCTATAATATAATTATATATTCAAAACACCTAATAATATATATTATTAGGTGTTTTGATTCCCCATTGATATTTATACTTTTTAATATTATAATCTAATGCTCTTATATAAATCTTTATTTTTTTACATTATTAATTTTTAAGAAAAATCTTTGGTAATTCGTGGAAATTATTTTTCAAAAACGAACGAAAAGTTTCATGAGATGAAATTTTTCATTTGAACTTTGAATTAGTAAAGACTAATATTCATATTTGATATAGATGCATACAAAAAGTGGTTGTTTAATTTTTTTCTATCCGCAAATGTTAATGATTTATCAATAAACGACCATCAATTCCTAGAATTTTATTTCTTTTCTCTTATTAAATGGTGAATATACTTGTTTGTATGTATTTTTGTGTGTTAGAGGAGATCGTCCGTTTTTTTAGTTAGTTAAGATTTGAGAGATTTGACTTTTCGACACTCCATGTGAGCTCTACACCTTTGTTTCGCTTTGGTACTATTCTCGTTTTGTGTTTGCGTATAATAAACACAGTTCTGTTTTGTAAATATAATTGTGTTATTTATTTGTAAATGTATGAGATAGTTACATTTTAGGGGCCTCCAAAATGTAAAAGTCTCGCACACTCGTACAAGCTTGATGATCTGGACTTCAATTTCAACTAGCCGAAAAAACAAAACAAATAAAACAAAAAAACAAACGATCTTCCGAGGAACATACTACAGTACAAATATATAATCTTGTTATTATTTTCTAAATGGTAATCGTATGTAAAGTGTAAGATGTGACACGAAAACCTTAGTACCCTATCAATAATCGTAAATACTATTATTAAATAATCAAAAAGACTATTTTTAGACTTTTACCTATTTCGTACGTTTGTAGGAACGAACAATAAAACGTCAAAATCGTGTAATCTGCAAGAAAGTAGATAATTTAGCAAGTAGTTCTAGTTTTTTAACAATAATGATATATAAAAAACAAAAAAAGAATTAGTAATAAATTGTTACCAATAAATGTACAGTAACATGTTATTCTGATAAAAAATCATTTTCTATGTATTGCTTAGTGTTACTTACTGATTCTTCCACATGAACATCATTTGGATCACCAATCAATCCGTAAAATTGCTTGCCTTTAGACTTTGATTTAGATGGGTTTGTCCATAAGCGCTTTTGGTTTGTAGCTTGTTTTACTGACGATCCGGTATCTAGTAAACAAATAAATTAATATTTAATTTCATATTACCAAATAATTAATTTTCGATCTTTTTTCTTTCGATTTTTTTTCGTTGAAAAAAGAATTAATCTTTCATGATTTTTTGTTAACCCATTATTACGCAAGCAAATCCATAGCACCAAACTAACCATTGGATCACTGTCAAAATAGAAAAAAAATTTACTGGTGTTTTTTATGTTTGCAACTCTAATTGTTTATACGATATTATTTTTAAAAAATCAACAAAAATGTTATAGTTTCAAATAACTAATATTGCCGATCGATTCTATAAGAAAAAAACATCGAAAATCTATATACCATTTTTATGTTAGATTTTATTTTGTTGGTGTATTATCATTATTAACAATGACATTCCGATAAGAGATGTTGTACTTTATTTTACCTCAAGGCGAATCTACGCTAAATAGCTTCAAATTAACTATTGGACTACTCTCCTCATGAAATAAAATAACCCGTGTTTTTCTTTTTGCGATTTCAATTATTTATGCGAAATTATTAAAATAAATTGTAAAAAAACTTTGCGATTTCACAAAACTAATCACACCAATCAATCGTACGCCGAAAAACAAGTAGAAAACTTTTTTAGAACTTTCTTGTACATATGTAATATGTTACCTAAACCCAATCCTAAACAATCGGTTAAAAAAAATCATGTCTAAATGTCTTGTGCAATTAGTTAAAATAAAATTTTGATTTCCGAATAAAGCTGAATATTTTATTTTTTAACGATAATACACTAACAAACTAGAATCTGACAGAAAAATGTAGAGGTTTTCAAAAGATTTTTGCTTCTAGAATCAATTGTCATGGCCAGTTTTTTGAAATCGTAAATTTCTTTTACTTTGTTTAAATAATTTCGCTTAAACAATGAAAATCGCCTAAAGAAAAAACACGGGTAAATTTATTTCCATTTTGACAGTTATCTAATGGTTAGTTTGGTGCTATCTGGCCTGGATTTTGCTGAGGTAAGAATGGGGTAGAGTAAATTTTTATTGCAACTAATATTTTCTCTCCTTAATGACGCTATCATCAATCTTACATTTCTCAAGACTGAGATCCTCTTCCTGCCTCTCCTCTTCTATTTCTTCTTCCTCCTCATCTTCTACCCCTTCTTCCTCCTCTTCCTCGTCCTCCTCCAGTTCATCCTCCTCTAATTCATTTTCTTCATCTTCCCCCTCTATTTCATCTGCTTCATTATCTTCGTACTCATCATCATCGTAAGAGGAAGTTGGCAATTTACCATACTTTTTATCTAACTTTTCTAACAAATTGACATCAACATCTTCAACATCATCATCTTCAGTTTCTTCATCTTCATAATTTTCGTCGCTATTGTCTTCTACGCTATCACTGTCTTCACGGGCTCCTTCTTTTGGATCATTAGTTTTATCTATTTTAGCAAACACATTTTTTTAAATATTTTTACAACCTCGCGTAAATATCTATATATTTTAGAACATTAATTTTTTTGCAGAATCGAAATACATATAACTTTCGTATTACTTCAAGTATAAATAAAAATTTTTCTAGTAAATATTTCAATTTCGAGAATCTATTTAACTTCATACTCGATTAGATATACTTAAATTATAATTTGATATAACCAATGAACGTTGTAATTTGACAAAAATCGATGTGGAATAGATTGCGTCCGTGAGGCCGCAAACATAGGCGGCAAAACGTTGCGCAAATTATAAAAAGAATTGATTTAATTTGAAAGGGACTCATCCATTTCACATCGATTTTTATAGAATTATTGTACAATAAGTTTATGGATAGGGTTGCTATTGATAATATAAACAATGAACGTTGTGTTACAAGAACGTGACAACCATTACTTTCCAATTTTTCTATGGCCAAAGCAAAAGAAAAATTTTTGTAAAATTAAAGTAACAATTATAATTGATTGGTGCTATCACTGTTCCATCAAATTTGCAATGCATAATGAACAATCATCATATCATCCAACCAATTCGACTGAGTTAATCATAAAATTAATAAATTTTAGTAATGAGTAATTGAGTTTTAATGAATAGCAAACAACTTGTTTTATCAATGTTTAATAACGTAAGATCAACGTATCAAAACCACTTATAAATATATTACAAAAACATTAATAACGGAAGCCTTAATAACATGAAAAGTTTTCCTCTATTGAGGCCACTTTGAAGAAGCATTGCTTAATTATTTTTTAATTGAATTTATGATATAATAACGTTCATTGAATTATTACGTGTATGCTTCAAGAGGCCTTTGCTACGCATTATACATGTAATTTTTTAGTTACTGAAAAATTGAAAAATTTAAATAATTGTCACGACATTTTACTGTTATAAAATTTACTTTTCAAATATTATAGAATGTATTTTACAAAAGGGTAATTATCTGCAGAAAAACTTCGATAATAAATTGGTGATCGTTTGCTTCATTGATTATTCATTGATGTGTCGAAATTAGATGTCGCAACAATCGTTATAAACCTATATTTCGATATGGATCTTTCGATTTGATTTCTAATTGTTTTTACCAGGTTTTTGACATTGTTTGATAATGCTTTAGCATTTAATATGTATCAAGATGTATTTGTTGTAATTTTTTGGAACAAAGGAATTATTCATGAAATATTGTTTTTGAGCTACATAAAGGCATGCTAGCTTTAGATAATAATAACAATATCTGAATTGCTTTTACCTTTCGTGGTTCCTCGGAGTATAAGTTCCAAATCTGAAGTTTTTTTAGCGAAAATTTCTTCGATCCCGGATCGTTTTTTGTCTGATGATCCTACTTTTTTATATGTCGAATGCAATTCTTTATACGTCTTTTCTTGCTCTTCATCTAATGGCTCTTGTCCGTCTTCATTGATTCGAGATGGTGTCACAATGGTATTTCGTCTTGTTAAATCAGGAACTTCGTCTTTAGCAATTAGAATTTCCGGGTTATCTGCTTCACCTTCGATATGAAGTAAACGTGATAAAGAAATATATAGTATAAAACATACATGAGCACTTTTTATTATTGAAGCGATATCTAGATAGCGTGCATTTATGATGTTTCGACGTATCTAATTTATTTGTAAGAACATTTAAATTTAATAAAATCATTCGATTGGAGGAAATTATTCAGTTGTGATTGAACTTTCATTGTAATGAAGGATTGCTATCAAGATGCAGATTGTTGCTTAGACTTCAAAAAGTACTGAGCAGTAAATTATCGAAAAACTATTCTTATGTCTCAACTATTGCCAATCACCGATTAATATTAAAAATTCTATTTATTTATTTATATCCAGAGTGTACACAATGTTTACATAAAAGCAATACACATGCGCATACATTACAAAATATTTGCAATACAGCAGAGAAAATAATTTCCTGTACGCTGGTCTGGAGAGTAATAACAAAATTAAAAACTAAACTAAAACCAAGTAAAAACACATAATATAAACATTTTGTTCTGCTTTACTTAAACCATAGTAGTTTGTACTACTATATATAAAGCAAGCAATTAATGTTATACTGTTTTAGTATTATAATAGCACGACTGCCTTTCCCTCTCTCTCGCTCTCTCTTTCTTAATTAATTTATATAAACTTTCAGGTAAGTAGATTTTTTTTTGCAACAAAATAATGTTTTTCTGTTTGATATATAGTTTTTCGATAAATTATGCAAAAGATTTTTCAATAAAATTCGGAAATTTATTATTTCAGCAAAAGAAAATTATTTCATTGAAAATGTGTTCCATTCCTGTCAAAATGCAAATACTAACAAAGGGAAGATTCCCCTAAGAATATTCTTATATACACTAAAGCTCAGGAAGATGCTCAACGCTAAATATTATTATTAAATAAAATACTATATTAATGACAACTTTTTCAGGCATATATTTGAGATTATGAAATTTATTGCAAAAAGCTGAAGATGAAAAAAGTTTGGTGACTTCATTTGAGCGATTTTTACAAGCCAACAAAGAAAACTTTCAATTTCCACTGCTGAATATTCGCTGGACCCCTTAAGTACTGCTTTCAATCAGTTATTCTGAAAATTTTGACTCGATTAAAAATTGTGATTGGTCGAAATCGAAATTCTTTCATTAAATAAATGGTTGCTATCGCGACTTTTGTATTTCCACATAAGAATAATAATGTTGAGCCAGTACTTATTGTTTTTGTAATCTTACTGGACATGCATGAGGGTGTTTAACTTCTGAGGAAAGCCTTGTATATACGTATGTAGCATGTATTCAACGTATGTTAATTTGGAAGAAACTGAGCGTTGGATCAAAACTCTGCCAAGTCCGGGCAGGTAGTCCGTTTACATTGCCAATAGCAGATTAAAAATGGAATTTTAGATCAATTCGACGAAGCTAGTTGCTGCTCGAAAAGGTTGCAAAAAAAAGCCGTAATGTACATTTATATGTTCTTCATTGGTTTTTATTGATAAAAAATGAGGCACTGTTAAGCATTTAATTTGATGGCTGCAAAAAAGTTAAACGGATATTAATAGTTAAAGGCATAGCGCGCTGAATAAAGCAAACGAAAAAATTGTATATGCGTGCAAAATAATGCACAAAGCATAATTTTACCATGATTCCACCTTCTTACAAGTACAAAATGCGCGGTGACGATCAGCGCAACGCCAACTCCAAATTTCATGGCCACTGTAAATGTCATTTTATATTAATGTTGCCAATACTGTTAAGATTTGAAAAGTACTAAAAAGTCATTACGTAAAAATAGCAGAAAGATACAAAATTGACAAAACTATGAGAAAAATCGATATTACTTCTTTGAAAAACAATAATAGTTCTGATGCGCTAAGACTTTTCATTGACTTAACTTACCGCTTGCTGATTCTTCCTCCAATTCGCTCTCATTATTTGTCTCTTGCTCTTCCTCTTTATCATCAAGATTGTCTTCATTTATAATTTCTTCAGGTTCGTCATCAGAGATCTGCAATTATTAGAATTATTTCCATGTGAATAAAATAGAATGAAAGAAATATAACGATTAAAGTCGAGCTTTATTTAAAAACTTTTCAAAAATCATGAGATAATTTTAGTTTCGTGATCAGCTTATTAAAATATTAAATATAAAAAGAATCTTGTGAATCTAACAGATTTGTTATCAATTTATTACAATAATAACAAATAAACCAAATATTTTCGAAAGAGAAATACGATGTGCGTTTATGTTTGTCAAATATTGCTGAATCAGTAATCGTTACTTCCTTTTTTTAATTAGACTATAATAGACGTTTTTTGCTACGAGAAAGCAGATTAAATCTTACAGTTTTAAAGATAATTCGATATTCTACTATTAAATCAATTGATATCGATGAAAATAAATAGACATATAGGATTATTCGACAAAATCTTATAGTGTTACCTACTTCTTCCAAAGGCTCTGCACTAGGATCATCAATTTCGTTCACATGAGAAGTATTTACAAAATCTGTATCTTCGTCAGCATTTGCATCCTTTGTCAAGACAATTCCTTCAATGCTAACGTCCAAATCAATGTCGTAGGGATCATTAACATCATTTTCATCATCATCAGGGTTATCTTCAATTTCATCCAGTGCACTCAAATCGTTGTCATACGCTGCATAATATTTATTTTCTAAAACATTCATTGTAGATATCTTTTAGATTGTCATTTGCAATGTTTTTTTTTCATCTATGTTATGATTTGTTAAAGAGGCATCAAACTATAATTATATCGAGAGCGTTGGATTAATAAATATTGTAATTTAAAAACAAAAACTGAACCAACAAGAAACAAAGATATAATGAATGTGTTACTGATGAAGAAACTTGAAAAAGTACTATAAAGTACTATAAAGTGATATGAGTTGTTATTGTAAAAGTTCATATAAAGAAGAATTTTCTGAAATCATTGAAAAAGTTAAGTATTGTTTCATGCTGTTTAAATGGGGAGAGCAGTGAAAGACAATACTGATACTTGTATTTTGTATTTCTTCTTTAATATATTTCCAGAATACATGGCATCACTTACAGTATGGTATTTAGATGATAAACTGAAAATTTGATGAAAGTAGTAAACTAACAAGCAAACTGCTTTCCTAGCACAAGGTAAAATAATATTGAACATTTTTTATATACAAAATACATGCATTAAGTTATGAAGAACGATCATACAAAAGAGTTGATGAATTTGTAAATACTGTTCTATCGATCTAGCCTAGGCGTGGGTAGATTGATTTAATTATCAGCATGTCATAGGAAAATCGCGTTTGAGAAATGTTTGTATCAAGCACCTTTTTCAGTGGAAGCGTAATCAAACGGTCGTTCCAGGTCATAGTCATCGTCTTCCTCTTCTTTTGACTGGTCCTCTTCGACATCTTCCTCAGAGATGGTTTTATCTTGTTGTGCTTCGAGTTCGTAGTTAGATTGGTCACGTGTCTTGAAATATCCGTCATCGATGTCAGTGTCGGTATCGGCATTCATATCTTCATTATAGTCATCAATTTCATCGATGCCCGCAGGTCCTTGGTTGTACTCTTCCTCTAACGCTTGTTCTGGCTGATCTTCTCCCTCTTGCCCATCCTCTCTTTCTTCATCTGCTTCTTCTTCTTCGTCTTCCTCTTCTTCGTCGTGTTCTTCTTCTTCTCCTTCTTCTTCGGCCAGTCGGTTCTCATCGTCGTCTAACTGATGTTCGAGGGAGGTGTGATCTTCATCCTCTTGTTCCTGTTCGTCTGCCTGATCGTCTTGTTCGTGGTCTTCGCACTCATGGGATTGGTCAGCGAGATGATGCGAGTCAACGTCTTCTTCGTGTGTAGCTATAGTGTCGTCTACCCAGCCTTCGAAGATGGTCCATTGCGAAGCACGTACAGGTTTGTCCACTAAAACAAACGTGTGAGTTAGTCGAGACCATTTCGTGCACGATCGGGTCGTTAAAAGCCATTGTGCATTGCCCAACAACATACCATCGGCGGAGCCACGATGCTCAACTATGATGAGAACCACGCCAGCCAGAAGAGCTGCGAGCAACGCAAAAAAAATTATTTTCGCACACCAGTGGCCTCCTGTTCCACTCTCTTTGTGAATATGTATTGCTACGTTTTCCAACTGATCCGTTGATCCACTCCGTCCTGAGGATATTGGTAAAGCTGCTTCGTCTTCGTCTAAAATAGAAGTCAATTATTCAAGATTATTAAAAATCTTTCGTTCCTTATCCCCAACAACAATAATGTTTCAGCTACTGCTGTCAAACTAACAACTACTGTTGTTTCGCCATTTTTACAGGGATGTATTCGTTAAAGAAATGCACGATTGCAAATTGCAATGGCAATTTGCATGGACCAGAAAATTAAGGTACTTGCAATTCTTCAGATCTTATACTTATGTCAAATGTTAATCGTATTCCGCAATTGCATGATTCTTCTACGGTTGCTCACAGCTCAAAATATCTCATAGTTGTATTTATATTTGAAAGCTTGGATTTTTCCGTATTACATTGAAACTTTTCATTTCATCGACATTCAATAAGAAACAAGTAGAAATATCTCAGTAGACTAGGCATAGATTACGTACGTTGAAACTAGTGTACATCAAGTATTTGAATTCTTACGCACTTGCGATACTCTACCTACTTGTACATCATTTATTAAAAAAACATTCAATTAAGCGTTGCTTCGCCGGCCGTTCTCTTCATTTTATTGGCATTTTCAATGAAGCGACTACGTTACAACGACTGTTTGCTTATTTCCAATAAATTGATTTCAGTAAATAGACACATTTGATTTTAGTGGAAGATGAAAAATGAACAGATTCGAATTCAGCGAGCTGTCCTATTTTGAGAAATGTATTATGCAAGGTTTTTATAAAAATAGGTACACTTGAACTACGCGCTCGAACTCTGGGAAAGAGAGTATTTAGGCTTGTCGCCGCAAAATGCTTCGTTGCAATATCAATGTACTGGTCGAGTGAATGATGAATGATACGCATTAGAATGTTAAGGAAAGCAGTGACAATACATCTGCAAAACGTTGACTGACCATGTACGATTGGAGGCGCATCCTGAAATAGACAGAGAGAGAGAGAGAGAGAGAGAGAGAGAGAGAGAGAGAGAGAGAAAGCGAAATTGAACGATGGAAAATAAATGAAATAATCATCAAAGATTTTGTTCAATATTTTCGGGTAGGAAGATGCGCACTTGGAGTGGGACAACGACGAGAATAAGGAAAAGCGAGCAGGCGGCGAGGCGACGCACGCGGGCAGAAAGAGAGACGGGAAAAAGACGGTCTAAAAATACAGCAGGCTCTCTCTCTCTCTCTCAGAGCAGAATGAAACTAGCTGGGCGAGCTGCAGCTCGAGCCACGGCCACGAAATCCAACGACAGCGAAAGAGAAATTGGTGCCACTGGCACGGCACTCACCCCTGCGCCGCCTCTTATCTTTGCGCTTCCTCGGCTGCACGTCTCCCGACATGTCGCCCTTGCGTCCGGCTTGCGTCTCGCGCAGCAGGTGCCTCGTCGGCTTGCGAGCGGACCCGCGCGAGCTCAACCGAAAGCTCGGCCGCGCGGCCAAGCAAGCGCGCTAGCTTTGTCCGCTGGCTCGGCTGAGCCGGATCCGCGATCCGATTGCTACTGGGGGGGCTCCGTGCGAACGCCAAGCTCGTCGCTCCGGCTCTTCGGCTGTCCGGCGAGCGAGCCAAAGGACCGTTGCCTGCTACTTGCGCTCGTGCTTTCGCACGCCAATCGCTCGCTCCATCGACTTCGCGATGCAGCCAATGCTCGCGCCCTGCCGTCGCTGCTCCTATGCCAATCTTCGCGCGTTGCCGCCAGTTTCGCCCAGCCTGTCCTCGCATCTTTGCTTCGGCCCAGGCCTCCTTTCATCACAAGCCCGTCGCATTTTTCCAAGCTCTTTACGAACGCTCTGCGCTATCGGCATCAACTCGCACCTCGACAGTTAGAAACCTTCCGATCCTACTGCAACCAGCTTGGAATTGTGGAGAACGAGCGCAGCGCCTTTCGGAAACAACCTCCAACAAATAGCAACCTGGTTTAACCGACCAAATTCTTAACTGTTCGTCAAACTCTTTCTTCTGCTCCTCCAGCCTATACGATCAATTTACCTTATTTAGTTGAACGTTGCTTTCGATAATATCGAAATGTTGCTCTTCGCAATACTTTGATATCGCTGAACGAATAATTTTGATTCCTCGCCAATATTATTTACATCCCGATTCCCAACGATATTCTAAGAAGAATACAATCGATTAATATGCTCAATGGTTGATTCATTTAGAAAGAAGATATTGGAAATCACATTTTCATGAATCGCGAATAAACGACAATTAGAAAGCGATTGGATTCGATTATGAATAAAGGCGTAATATGCTTCGATTTTGAATAAGCGTGCATTTTTATTATTGCAATTATCAAATAAATATCGATTTTTCACATTTTTCACGGTAAAATATACAAATAAATTTCTTAGCGTTAGTTATCGTCACTTACCTAAACAACCGGCTGGCTAAGAATAAAAAAACTCAGCGGAAAATAAACGAAAATTCACCTGGAAAAATTATAAAAAAACTGCGCGTGATTGGCAAGGATAGCAAAACTCTTTTACGATTCCGCGCAATTAAGATTTCGTTCATAAAAAAATGCCAAAATTTGGACACTTCCAGATCAATAGAAATAAAATCTACGTCGATTTCATTCGGTTTTTATAGAAATGAATGTGTTGAATTGTCAGCAAAAATCACGCCTCATTTTTCGATCAAATTAAAACATAATTATGACTATTAGTTATAAAATAATAAATATTACTTCTCATTACGGCGATGCAATTTCTCGCGTATTGTCCAACAAAGGTGTAGATCTATGTTACCGACTGATCTGTCACGTGTATGTATTGCTTTGATAAGAAATAATATTTATTCTTTGATGGATGGTTATAATAATATTTCGATTGGATAGAAAAAAATTGCATGTATTTTTTTCTAACGGTTCAACACCATCATTTATATAAAAATCGTATTAAAAGCTACGCAGGTTCAATTCCTACTGATCTGGGAGTGTTGAATTCTCGAAATTTTGTTATTAACAAAAACTAAACTGTGCGAAATTATTCATAGGTTTTGCTATCCTTACCAATTATCTGCACTTTTCTATAATTTTGTCGGGTTGATTTCCTACTGGGCTCCTTTATCCGTCGACTAATGCAGGTCTCGTCACCCACGCACCTGTATGATAGTGTCGTTTCTCATTGTAATTATTTAAAAATAAGATGGGTCCTTGATGCTAAATAATTAATCATTTAAAAGCAAATGATTCGACTACTCATCGATATGGAAATCATGGAAATCTAAATGGTTTCGACATTGAAAAAAAATTCAATTTTCTATTGTCAAACCTTATCTCGATTAAATACTACAAAAAATAAGGAATAACTAAAATTATGTCAAGAATCTGAAAATGTAATAAAGATAGAACACTAATAAATTCTATAATTAATTCATTAAAGGTTTCATTTTTATAAGTTTATACATAACGTTTGTCGTTCAAATCTGATCGCATTATTAAAAGGTGCAACCGAATACGGGGCCAAATAAAGATAACAAAATAGGGCTTACTAAACCAACGAGTATTTAAGTAACATAATCAATACGTTTAAACAAACTACTCGTAAGCCAAGGCTCATATTCTCACTACAAAAGATATAAAATATCTTCAATTGTATCCAACAACCGTATACACACAATACCATAAAAATCGAGAGCGAATCATCGATTTCCAGTAACAATCTCATTTTATATCTTTTTTACAGCGTATAAATTCAGTTTTATACATAACATAGCTATTTATGTACATACGCAGCATATTTCTAAATATTTATGATAGATTCAACTATTATGTGTGTATTGACCATCAACCATCGTTAATAACACCTTTACTACGCCATTCTTCAATTGAACTTGACAAGTCGTCCACTATTTTCATCTATTCACAGCACATTTTTTTATATTTTATTTTTTGCAACATTCAAGTCATTCAAATTCTATTGCTATTTCTTTAATCCGTCTGATATGAATATTATATTAGGATAGTATAGTACTTAAGGAACAAAATATGGTATTTAACAAAAATTTTAAGCATATCAGCACTAATATTATTTTTTACCCAAAATTGTTTGCGTCGAAAACATTTAACAACCTATATCGAAAATTAAAAATTTAGAAAAATTGCAATTGTTAGAGGAATGAATTCAAAGAAGCTCTTATCAACCGCACTATAGTGCCTAAAAAGTTCATGCTTCTAATAACGTTTTCTACCATAGGCTAACGAACATTAACTGACGCATCGCTAGTGAAAAGGCCAAGCGGCTAATTATTTATAATAATAATAATAATAATTACTATTATTTCTTTTTAAGAGAAGACGTTTGTTAATTCTAATGATGCATACTTGGACTGAATCATTAAAGCAACGTACAGGTAAATATTAACTAATAAACTTATTCTTAGTACACTATATTATTATTTAAAATTTCTAACTAAATTGAATTTATTTCTTTCATTTTTAGTCACTGAAAGTATACAACATATCAATAATAATTGTTGAACATGTCCTCTTATTAAAAATCAAATTTAAAAAATATATTTTTCGGTTTAAACATTCAATATTGTTTTGTCATAAATTAAACAATTGAAACATACATATTTTCAATGTCGTATTATCGTGTAATTTTCTATTATCAATACTTTAAAACAGAATCCAGTGATAAAAATAGAGTCAAAGTATTAATAAAGTACAGATGGATTGAATGATTTTAATGTTTGGGTATAATGACATTAGAGCATGACTTGTATTGAGTTTCCGAGTATGCTACCATTGACTGTCAGTTCTTTAAATCATATTTCGTTGCTTGGAAGTACTATTGAAGTACAGACTGAAGACCTTTTTACAAATTCCTCAGGACTTTTTCTCAGCCGTGCTCAGAAGCTCAAAAATTATCTACTTACATCTAAATAAAAAAGGTATAGATATCGTATAATAGCTTAAAATCTTCGGCGATTTTTACTTACGAGATTATATTTCAAAAAAGTAAGTAAAAATTTCTTTTAATAATCCTGATCTTACAAGTTTTCAAAATCTCCGTTAATTGCACTATTCTGTATTGACTAAGTTACGTAATTGTATGTTTTATAATTAAGAAAAAAGAAACCTTAAATTCAAAGAAGTTATGCCTGATTAGATCATTAGCTCTGTTGACTTATTTTATAAAACTTCACTTCGTAAATTTAGCTATAGTCTTACAACTTTGTTTTAAGGCAGGAGTTTTCTTATTTACATCTGAATAATATTTCATTTCGTTCGCACAAGGCTTTGACTCCGCGGAGTCACGAGTCGGGCGAATCGAAACAACATGTATTCCCCGCTAGTATTCTACCACGAACTTTAGACAACTTGATTCTGTTTTTATTCAACTTATTTCAAAAAGAGCAAATGACATTGCCTAATATCAAATATCTTTTATCGTATCTTTTTGTAGATTTATAATTGCACATGGCCAATAAATTCTTCGGCGTAAATAGACGATATGTACATTTTGTGTTTGCTCTGGTTAAGAAATGCGTTGATACGAGCGGACGAATATTACAATAAAACTAAAGGTGCACCGACACACCTTACATTTTGCGATTACTAATTTCAGAGGACGCTATCGTTAAACCTTGCAATTGAGACTTTCGGTTGCTATTGAAGGTGGTTTGGTAATTACATCAGGTTCGGGTTCCGATAGAAGAGCTCGCCGCGTGTCCGAAACATCTGGAATGCTTTTGGAATCTTGGGAAGCATGCGTCGTCGTCAACGATCTTGTTTCTTCTGGCCGCGTCGACTTTGTCACTTCTGTTGGCGATGAAATCATCAACGAAGATGTAGGAACTTCGGAGTTTGGCAGGTGCGTATGTTCTTGCTCGTTCGCGTGCACGTGAGGCTTTTCCTCGAACACTGTAATTAGTTATATTATATATGAATCTTACGAAGCTTTAAACAACATAACTTAAGAAGCATAGAAAGAAAAGTGAGCGGTTTACGTTGATCAAGGCTGATTATTGAACCCACGAGTTCATTCACTGTCATAGTAGGTACTTGTTCATCTAGCTGTTTTCTTCTTCTTACTAGCCACCAATCGACGAGGAATAGCGCCAGAGCCAGTATCTTAATTCCACAACATAGACCAACATACCTGATAGGATGCAAAATAAAAGTAATTATTAATGTTGCTTTTTTTATCTTCTGACTGAGGTGTTTTGACATACCTATATCGAAATTGTTCTATGTCGTATAGCAGACAACGACCTCCCTTCTCACCGCACGTGCTTTTCCACAGTAAACAAGTGGAGTCAATAAGATTTCCAAACAGTATTGGTGCGGGTATATAGCCAAATAATCTAAATATTACAAATTGCATCCCCAAAGCAAAAGATCTTTCCTCTTCCGACACAGACCTGCATGATAAGTAATTGATTAATATCGGTGACGGAATAGAATGTGAAGTTAAAAATCAACACTTAAAATTGCTGCGTACCTTAAAACTATCATAAGAAGTGGCATCTGCGTTATTGCCACAATAAAAGTCATGAAAAATAGTAATATAAGAAAAGGAAAGATGGTTTTGCATGGAGAAGTGCAGGGGCCAGCTGTAGCTACGGGTACCACCGTTACTTCAGCAAATTCTGGAGCTGCCGGTGGGATCACGGTCAAATTTCCGTGTATACCTGCGAAAGATAAAGAGATAGATTAGCGTTGGTTGTTCACAACGTGTATAGTAGATTTAAGTTTCGTAAGACAGACTCACAAGCACAATTGGTAAAGTTGGATTTGGAGCTGAAGGCAGTGCAGCCAGCGTGACAAGGGCTAAAGTAGGTGAGGCCATTGTTACCGCAAACGGGCTCGACGTCATTCATACGGCACTCGCAACCGAAGTTGCAAGCGGCAGTGAGATTAACCTGAAAAGGTTCGGGGCCTTTGACGCTGCTATTGAAGTATGGGATGGTGGTCCCAGCCATTTTGACGTTATCGCAGCCGAGAAAGAAGAGTAGGCCGTAGCACGTAAGGCATATCACGTTGGAGACGAGGACGAACTGAACTGCGCCTTTGGGCTTCAGCTCGAGGCGCTTGAGCAGACAGCCGCCGAAGAAAATGCCTATGCATGCACCGGGAATGGCTATGGATCCAGTGAAAATTGAGGCCTGACTTTTGCCTAAGCTGAATTGAGTCTCCAAGTATTTGGGTAGGAATACCACGAAACCCGACACAATGACGAGTTCCATGCAGGCACCGAGGCAGGTGATCACGTATACCGGGTTGCACACCAGTCGCCACATGCTTCGAGGAATGTCTGGAAACAATCGACCAAGTTGACGGATCGATGCCCACAAAGATTATTCAAGCTGATGTATTAATCTCATTGTACCTTTGACATCCTTCCCGTAAGAAGCCGAATCATCGGATGTTTGGCTCTTTTTCGAGTCTTTGCTCTGCTCTTTTTCCTTGGTCGGCGGGAGCTTGTTTTTTTCGATGATTCTTATCTTTTCTTTCTCTCTATGCAGAGTTTTAGGAAAGCTGAAGAACGGGATCGCTACCAGAATGAGAAGTAGACCGCACAGTAAAAAGCCACCCCACCACATCCCTACCCATCGGTGATCACCGGGATCTGAAATAATATTTAGCTAGAACGGGATTCGATCGACAGTGAGTCGTTGTTGAGGTTCTTACCTATGCTGATTATCGTCGAAGATAGCGAGTCCATGTGAAACGACAAAAGATATGCTCCAAGAAGAAAGCCCAAGACTGGTCCAAAGGCTGCCATGCTGTACATGCACCCTGAAAATACAAAAGCAAAGATTGAGCTTCGTTCGAAAGCAAGGGTAGAGAATTGGATCGGAGAAAATGTGGAAAAGCTTGCTGACCAATATACAGCGAGGCGCTCTCTGGCCTCACGTGATCGTCGATGTAGGTGGTACCGAGAGTAAACAAAGGGGAGCCACCGCAGCCAAGCAACAGTTGGGCCACGACAAAAAGCATTACCGGGCCCGCGGTCGAGGGTGATCCAGTGATACAATTGTCGCCTCGCAAATTGTTGTGCGGAGACAGAGGAGGCGACGACAAGCCCGACGACAATCGACCTGTGAATCGTTCGCTCGTTATCGTCGCTCGCATCGTTGCACAACTGGTTTGGAATAATGTCGGAGCATGCCTACCTAAACCCATGTCTTGTTCTCTCAAGGATATTCCACGACAAATGTTATCGGAGTTGGACTGATTGGTATTTGTCGTGAGATTCGGTTCGGCCGTGAAATGCGGCACCATGAATATCATGGAGCCAAGGCCCATAATGACGGCTCCTAACGATAAGGCACGACGATGACAGTCAGTCGAGTGAATTGACGCGCGAGAAAAAAACTGAGTGGACGATGCTCACCGATAGCAATCCATACGGGAATGTGCCTGCGACTACCGAGATAGCTGACGAAGATGACCGTGATGACATTTCCTATTTCATACGAGCTGGCAATGAGGCCGGAGAGGCTCGATGGGATTTCGAACCTTTTCTCGATGGTGGTGATCACCGAGTTGATGTAGCCAGAGCTGAGAGCTTGCTGCAGCGTGACGAGGAACGATAGCAGGAACACAAATACCTGAAATAAATTTTTGAGCTTGGATGAGATGTCGGGCGAGCACACGAGCGCAGTCGGGGCGACGACGAGCTCACCTTTATACCGGCGAATCTTTGAATAAATGCCGGTCTGCAGCTCAGGATGCCGCAGTCCTTGGAGTCTGGATTGATCGGTGGCGTTTGAGCTCGTTCTTTTTCCGGCCTGCAACGCAATATCTCGAGGTCAGCTGTCTGCGAACGGGCGTTGCCCGTCGAGTCGACGAGCGGAGGCGTCGCGAGATGTCATTCTCTTTGCGCAGGCTGCCGATCAAGTTCAGCTTGACGCTGAGCGACGCGTCGCGCGCAGCCGAGTGCCGTTCGCGGAAAGGAAACAAGTCCGAGTAAAACAGTTGTCAGCGAGGTCGCGCCGATGCGAGCGATCAAGCCAACGATCTCGAGGCTGCATTGACACGACCGTTGCTGGGGGGGGGGGGGGGGGCGCAGAGGACCGATCTACCGTCGGTCGGCGATGAGCGATGGCCGAGCGCGAAAGCGAGCCGTGCACGCGCTCGACACGAGCGTCGGTGCTACTTCCAGAGAGCAAGCTCGCCCCGCGCACTTTCCAATCGGCGAACACGCAAGGCGCTCGTGGAATTCTCTCTCACGAATTCGCCGTCCTTTGTCAGTTTGCTTTGCTCCACGCTCGTCCGCTACCTGGCCGGCATAGCTGCTCTCTCTCTTAACCAGATTAGCGCGCCGGTAGCTGTGCGATCAGACCGCGCTTCGTCGTCGTATTCGACGACGCCGGTGAGCATCGCGTCTGGCGTGCCGTTCTGCCGCGCGCGTTCGACATGACGCGAAACGACGCAACGACTCTGCGCTACAGACGTAAGTTTGCATTTGCTTTACCTGTCTACGACCATGGAGGCACTTGGATTTCTGCTGTGACACTTGATGATGAAATCTCTGAAAACACAAGAAAGACATGAAAAGACGATGACTTGATCCGAACGCGAGCGTATCGCACGTGCGCGACGACACGAATCGCTGGACGCCTCCTGTAGCCTCGGGTACGCGCGTGTGTGCGAGGCTGATGTAACGAACTTTCACATGGCAGTCCTGGCGGTTTTCGTTTAGAAACGCTTCGTTACAACTTCGACCAAACTGAGCGCGAGGCATTAGCGAAAGTGTTGGAATCACGGAATCACGGAATCACGACGACTGACGACCGAACACGGTCGCCGAAGCGTTACTCACCGTTTGCCGCTGCGACCTCGTCGTTCGTCCACGTTTTCCTCGGCGACCGGAAATTTCGGCGAGCACAATAACGCTCAGCACCCGTCGCTGCCGAAAGAAACCGACGCGAAGGCGGCTGCGAGGTCTCTGCGAGAAACGTGTTCTCCATTATCAAGCCAATCACCGAGCCGTGGAAAAGCACATAAGAGGCAGTTGCGCGAGTCGCGAGCGGCAACGCACGGCCGACAAGACGGCTAGGCAACGAAATACAAACGAGACGCGGGAGAGCGCTCCAAGTGGTCCCGAGGAGCCGACGGAACGCGCCCAAGTTGATCGCGGGCGCTCACCTGTGGTCCACGAGGCTGGCGCTGGGGTTCCTGCTGTGGCAGCGCACCACGCCCTCGTGGGTGAGCCTGGTGCTGCTGGTGGGCGGTTGCTGCTCGCCGCCGGACTCGTGGCCCTCGACGCCCGTGTCCAGGCCGCTGTCCGCGTACAGGCCCGTCATCGCGTACATGCTCTCGTTCCGCCGGTGGCCCGCTGGCTGGTAGCTGCTGCTGCTGCCCGACTGCGACCTGGCAGGCAAACAGTGAACCCGGCGGCATTGCGACGCACTGTGCCGGTACCGCTGGCGCCGTGCACAGGGGACGACCAAGCGCCAACTGACCTTTTGTGCGCGAAGATGCCGTCGACGCTGGGCTTGTAGTGCTGACTCTCGGAGCGCCTGTGGCCGAAGGCGCCGGACAGGCTGTCGGCGCGGCGCTGGCCGCCCGACGACTCGCTGCGCCGGTGGCCCAGGGCCTGCTGCTGGGCCGGCGCGGGCTGCTGCGCGCCCGCCGACGTCATCTCTGCGGGCAGCACCTGGCGCCTGCCGCTGCACTACCGCCGCTCGGCCGCGTCCGCCCTCATACCACCTGCGGGCCGCGAGTCACAGCGATCAGTTGGCGGCGGTCGGAGCTCTCGAACCGCGCCACCCCCTCGCACTCCCGTGTGGCCCGACTCGGCCTATCGATCGCGCGCGAGACCTTGACTCGTGACAGCCGAATGAAAAATGCAGGGTGGAAAATCGATGCCGGCACAGCTGTGCAGCGGCGCACAGAACGCAGCGACGACGCTACAGGCTGCTCGACCGCGTTGCGGTGGATCCGCGGCTGGTCCCGATCGCGCTGTGCCGGCCTACGGCTTTTCGGCTGGCTGCTCGGGCTGCGGTCTTAACCACTAAATCCGCATAGCACGATCGAAAACAACGCCTTATCTCGATGTAGGTTTAACTGGAAATGTCGGCAAGCCAATTGAGACGCTTGACGCGGCTTGAAAGGGTGCGCAAGAGAAACGAGCAGACAACGACCGATCTATCGGGACCGAGCTGAGGAACTAAAACGTCCAAGTTATCCGTACGTCTGGATCAAGCGAACGCGAGCACGTAACGATCCTACGCGAGTTAGGCTATCCATAAACAGCGCAGTCTGTAGATGGCAGTGAGCGCGATAGGGAGAGGAAAATAAAAAGCGGTAAACACGAGCGAGCGATAAGCGCCATTGGCATAGTTTCGAGCCAGAGCTAATCGGGCTATTCTCAAAACATAGCGCGCGTCGGCTCTTGGACGGCGCTGCGGGCATGCGAGCCCTGCGAGCGGGAACTGCACCGAGTCTATACGGTGTCGTCGACGAAATCGGTCGAAATCGGTCGAAATCGGTCGTGCGCCGACGTCATTCCGGCTGCTCTGGCTCTATCGTCCCGATCTTACTCTAGTGAAATTGCGAACCGTCGCGGAGCGGCGACACCCCCGAAAACATTTTCCGACTTATCCCAAGGCGCGAGCCGGGCTCGCTATTGACAAGAGCGATTACGAAGCAAACGACGAGCCGGGATCGCGTCAGCCTGGCATCTTTCCATTGCCGCATCGGCGGTTCAATAGACCCTGGCGGATTTATCAGCGCGCTCACAACGAAACGCACGTCCGATCGGTCCAGACAGATAAGCCTATCAACAAACTAAATAAACAGACCGTCGCGCGGTCCGCAGCAGCGTTATCACCACAATAACGACACTCCGTGCATCCACGGCCCATTATGCAATGCGCAACTCCGACGAGCAATGCTCCCTGCGCCCTTTACTCCACACAAGTCTGTCTTTTTACAATTTTCCCACTGCAAACGACCGACTGATCGCGCAAACAAAGCCGCTTGCATTTTGAAAGTTGGTCGACCTTCGAAAGCCATGAAAAGCACGCGTGCGTTTTTGAGATGACAATAGCCGGCTGATAAATAGCGAGCCTTGACTGATTCACGCTCGAATGGACCTTCACCGACGTCTTTCCTGACTTAAGGTGCATCGAAACGCAAGGACGAGTCGGTAATCTTTTGATTGAATGCTGCGTCGAGAGCCGTGAAAATCTATCGTCGCAACAAACACGCGGATTGCGTTCACAAGGACCTGTCTGGACAGACAGTGATCCGTAACAAAGTGAACGGATATGCGCGGGCGACTGGAAAACGGAATGAGAGATGAGAAAAGAAATTGAGTGGAATGGACGGCGAGTGTGCAGTGGAAGGTAGATAGGCCAAGAAGGAATGACGCAAAATGCTTGGACGAGGTCCAGCGAGTGTGGCATTGAAGACACGCCGCGAACCGAGCAAAGCAGCGCTGGGCAGAGGTCGGCGGGCATCCGCATCGCCGATATAGTCGCGCGAGCTAATTGCCCGAGCAAGCGATCTCCGCGTCGAAAGTCTGGACGATCGCGGACGGACAACCGAGGCTCGGCCCGTTCGAGGCGCGCGAGCTCGCACGTTCGGTCGGTGCGCAAGAGAGAAGACGATGCGCGTCGCGTTCTTCCGCGTGAACGAACGCGATACGCGCACTGGCGCTGGCAGCTGATCGATCGACGCCACGACGCGGCCTTAACCCATTTTCGCGCTCGCGTTCGTCAGCAGGCGATGCACGCGCTGACTTTTACTGCCGGCAGCGCGCCTCGCAACGAGCGCAAGTAGAAAGGCGTCGCGATCGGCAGCCAGCGCCCGCGTCGGCGCGAGCCTCCGGCAACGCCGGTACGTAGCCGAACAGAAGAACGACCGCGCGGGCCGTTCCCGACGGCGTCTCCGCTTTCTCCGCGCTGCTGCTGCTGCTGCTGCTGCTGCTGCTTCGTTAGCCCGAGGCGACATCGCGTTCAATTCGCGCGATCTTCTCAAGCTGCGGCATCCGATCCATTGGGAAACGACTCTCATCGATTTTTCTCGCTGCCTCGCCATCGCTCCGTCCTAATTAAGCTCGCTTCTCCGACACATTGCGTAACTGCTGCTCCTCGCTTTCCCCTTTGGTCTTTTCTCGGCTCATTACGTCGCCGGATTGTCGCGCATCCTTTCCAGCGACCATTCGAAGATTCAACTCGAGAAGCCCGTTGTCGCTCTTTCCAACGAGCAATCGAAACCAACTTACTGAACTTTTCAATAAGTACGTATACCAACCCCCGAATGCTCAGACCGAACGAAACGCTGGCGCTCAGACTATCAAGCCCGTTCCCACTTGCCACCTGATAATCAATAGATATCGTGCTAATATCAGTATCGCGTCAACAGATTGACGTTACATTATACGTCAATGAACTGATTATTATTCGACTCCTCGAGACAGACTTTTTTCTCTACCGACGTCGGTTCATTTTGTTAAGACTATATCAGCATGATGACTGTCTGCATTCAATTTTATCATTCGTAAATTAATGTAAGCAATCCTTAGCGATGAATAAAACGAGAATTTAGTTTCACTTTTTCGATCCTTCCGTCTCCTTCCGTTTATTGAACTCTGAGTATTTGAGAAAAGGATTTTTTTGTAAGCGATTATTTCTTTTATAAAATACCGGTAACATCTCTAAATCAACCTTAAACCTATATTAACCAACCATTCGACTCGACCATCAATTGGTTAGAATCTTTCTCACAGACTTTGCCAAAATTCGATTTGCATCATTATTTATCCAGAAAGAATTATAACCTCGAAAATTATGAGATACGCAATTTTAGTTGAAAAAGCTGTTATCAATGTTCAAAAATTTAAACGCTTTTGACACTAAAAGAAATATTATAGAAACGATTTGGTGAAACGGTGAGAGTACCGATAAACGATGAATAGTTGTAAAATTCAAGCAAATAAATACACTACTCTAGAAATTAAAGCGTACTGGTATAGAAATACGCTTAAAATTTCAAAAGATCCAGTCAAGTTCAAGGGCGCTGTCAGCAGTTGAAATATACACTAAGGTGATAATAATATATGCTTGATAACAAACAATCGCTTGAGAAAAAAATCCCTTTACTAAAATACTTAGAGTTAAAAAAGAAAGAATCATTAAAAACATCAGGTCGAGTTCTCGTTTTATTTATCGCTAAGATTGCTTACATTAAGATGGGAATAATAAAATAAAATAAAATCAGTCGTGACGATTGTAGCCTTCACAATAAACAGGATTTGACAGAAGAAAAATCCGGACTCGAGAATTCAGGCTCGAATAATATATCATATCAATAATGCATATAATTCTCAATGGATCTTTAAAGGTGTTGAGCGCACTTTCGCACGGTTACAACCGTTCAAACGGTGAGGTTATTCAATCAATCTCTTATACACAATACACTGATATTACTAATATTACCACGATATCCATCGACTAGTAGATAAGAAGTAAAGACGCCAGCATTTCGCTCATCCTGAAGCTCGGCAATAGAACCAAATCGTGCGTAGGTGACAAAACAATGGTTACTCGGGAGCTACACGGGCAAAAGACTACATGGGTACCGAACTTGGTGACTTGTCAACAGCTTCGAGAAACAGGCTCGCGAATTGCGGAGAGTGTTGGATTTAAATGATGTTAACGAGCTTGTATAACAGATAGCGCGCCCATGGGCACATCGACGAAAGCAGGAGAGATCAGTAACTGCACGTGGTCGATGTTATCCTGATCGAGCGTCGCATCAATCGAAAAAGATAGCTGTGGAAACATCGCAAAAGAAATGAGAGACACCTTTCACTGTTTGACGCGTCAGATAAGAAAGTGGCGATCGATGAATCAGCTGAATTGGATTGTAGTTGGTTGTTCGCTCGGGCGCTCGATGAGTCGTGTTCTGCAGGACGCGCGACGCGCCCAACAGTACGCGCATCGAAAGTGTGGCCTCGGTTGTGCCCAGCCACGTTTTCCCAATGAAAGCTGTGTGCGGCAATAACAAGTTGCTAATGAAGCAAACCGAGATTATTTCGAAATGACGCTGTTACGCTGATACGTTTACGTAAGCCGCGGCGCGAGTAGAGCAAAGCAGTTGACTGGATGGACAAACGTCGAGCGCGCGTCGGAAGAACGGTCAGCCTGGGAAAAATCAGTGGCCATTGGCCGGGGCCGTTACGAATTGCAGACACGCAATCATCAGAACCGCTCTGCTTGCATGGAAGCGCGGGCCGATTACGTGTTCGTCTCCCCCCCCCCCCCCCCGCCCCATTCAACAAGAGCTTTATCGCAAGCTCAACGCCACGCACGTTACTGCGCCAAAGTTGTCAGCTACAGAAGCATACAGGACAGACATTAGGCTCAATAGCGGGAGATTAATTCGCCAAGTGTCAAGTAAAACTGTCGTGAGGGAAGAAACCTCACTGGCTTTCAATACACGGCCGATTCCACTGCAAATATGCTCGCTCTTCGTCGCTCCAAAGCCTCATTCCTCATTTTTAATAAATCGATTTCCTAAAGTCATTTCTTGCTCAAAAGTATAATCGCGCAGATTTAATCGCTTAAAACGAATGTTCATGTACGTATCATGCCTTACACACATTAAAATTCTTTATTTTTAGCTTATCTTCAGGCAACAATTATTTACTGAGAGGTATTTCTTTGATGGAAGATATTGTCGTTCACTGTAAAAGACACGTGAAAAATGTTTCGCTGATCGCGTCCCCTATGAAACAGCCTAATCCCTATCAACGTTCAAACGAGCTGCTCTCGTCAACTTTGTACGCTTTCCGTTGGCGATCGGAAATTTCCAAAGACCTCTCGTTCTAGTGGTGATTTTATTGATATTTTCGTTGCTTGTCAGCGTAGCGAACTTGGAATTTACCATTTTTATGAGACTGTCAGAGTGTGAGTAATGAAAGATCGTAGTGTACATATGAATTGAAATTGGAATTCCAGCTCTGAAATACGTCGAAAATGTTATCTTGGTGTAATTTTTGCAGAGTTTTACAAACACGTAAACGCACGTCTCGTAAACGTATCAGGGTCGCAGTTTTATTAGAACAATCAATTTTAAGGCAGTACTGCGATTTGCAAAGCGAGATTGCATTTTCGAGACTCGACATTTAAAAAAAGTAGAAAAAACCGCGTAAAAATAGACGTAGGTTTTGCCGGACGACTGTCAGAGTTGTAAGGGCAAGACAAGAGCATCTAGAGTATCCATGAACGCCATAGATCGATCGACTCGGAAAAGGAAGAGCTTGAAAGTTTGCCGAACGAACGAATGCGTTCCAACGTTGCTGAGATATCCTCGCGCAAAAGTATTTGGCTGGTGCACGCATGCCGCGAGGCTTGCTCTAACGTGCACTACGTCCGCCCTGGCGGGCTCGTATATTATGCATAGGCGTGCACTTGTATGGATCGAAGTTGTCGAGGCCGCCGCGGTAGGTGCGCATCGCCACAGCCGGCACGCGCGAAACGGACGAGCAGAGCCTCGAGCGCAATGCCAAGCTCAAGGTGTCGCCGAGAGGAGGAGAGCGACGCGAGAGCGGGCCGAACCGGTGGAACGCTGCTGCACTGGCGACAACGAACGCCTGCAAATAGCGCGACCACTTTGGCCGGTTGGCAAGCCGCGGGCCTCCGCGCGGGCAGCTGCAACGCGAACTCGCTACACCGGCGCCGAGCGATAGGCCGCGCGCTTTATCGCTCGGCGCAACGCGCAAACACCAGTGCACGCGGCAATCGGTCCTTCACCTGCAGAGCCTACGGCCCCCCAAGGGCCCGCGCGCCACGCCCGTGTGCGTCGACGGCGCCATTCAGGCTGCATTCGCAACGCACCACCGACGCTTTGGCTTGGCGACCTCTGTCCATCGACTTTCTTCGCGAGTACGTCCGCACCGAGAAGCGCAGAGCCAGCGATCGATCAGCGGTCTATGCACACATGCAGGCCTATAAGCACGCTTGCTGCCGCACAGTCGTCGCCCACCTCCGTAGAGCGAGCATCCGCCGGACAATACGTCCATCTGCCAGAGCGAATCCCCTTGACGATGAGCTGGACCCAGAGAGCGGAGCAGGTCTTGTCGTGGGTTGATGCGCGCGACGTCAACGGTACGTCGGGATGACGGTTCGAAGGGAGATAGTTGGAGCGCGCACGTGGCTGGCAGCGGAAAAGCACGTTCTCCAAGAGTGTCCGAGAAAACCGAAACATGAGCGACGCAGAGTCGCGCTCGGCGCTGGTCCGCTTGCCGAGGAAGTAGAGACGTGGCGCGCGTCGCTCGGCGAACACCTGCCAGCCGCTCGCCATGTCGCCGAATGCTCGCTCGTGCCTGCGTCATCTATCGCGGATAGCTGCGACGCACGGCTCAATGAGTGCGCCAGTCGACACTACTGAATGACCGGTCCGCATTTTCATCAACGTCCCTCACTCTCACTCTCTCTCTCTCTTTCTCTGTCCGCACGCTCCACCACGTGTTCACGCGACTATCTCAAAAAGCAATCGTAAGCTTGCCTATCTGTGCTGTCAATTTTCGTGATGCGTGATCTCCACATGTGGAGTGCACGCGTGAAGACGACGCACGCTGCACCGATACGAGCACAGCAGCCATCAAAATTATTTGCACGTAACACGCGCATTCTAGCACAGACACGTTTAATGTTGCGACGACTCGTGATAGGAGCATTGCAGCTAACTGAATCAACAAAACATCCTCTCTGCCTCCAATTCAATGAGCGCGATGTCTGTTCTATTAGGCTAGAGTGCCACGTTGGTTAATCTTTGCTCTCATTCGCCGTCGACCTTTACAGTCGACTAGAAACACACGAAGAAACGCGGGAAAGGTAAGGTCTACAAACAAAGACGTGTTCTCGCAATAGTGGACGAACAGAGAATAAGAGGAAAAGCACCGTTCATTCTTTCAGTATAACTGGCAACAAGTTTACCAATCGCAAAACGAACGGGCGCAGAAGTAAAACAACAAAGCGAATATCGACTCGAGATGATAGAACGAACGACAAAATGGTGTGGCTAAAAAACGACGAATGGTCATTTTACCGAACTATAATTAAGCACGTACAGATTAACGCACGCAGCACTGTGCATGCCGTGCACAGAGGCTAATGAACCGCGAGGAAGCTTAGCGGCTCTGATCTGTACACTGCACACACACGATTCCGAGGCAAAGTGGATAAGTCGTTAGCGCCGGTGCAACCGAGTGATTCACAAGAGAGAGGGAGGAAGAGAGAGAGAGAGAGAGAGAGAGAGAGAGAGAGAGAGAGAGAGAGAGAGAGAGAGAGAGAGAGAGAGAGAGAGAGAGAGAGAGAGAGAGAGAGAGAGAGAGAGAGAGAGAGAGAGAGAGAAGGAAAGAGAGAGAAATCGTCGAGAAGCGAACAAAGACCTAGCGAGTGGGACAGAGAAAGAGAGACTGGCAATCGTTCACAAAAAGAGAAGAGAAAAACGCGGGTGCTCTTGCTGCGCTTGCACGCCTCTTTGTTCCATCCGTTCTCAGCGAATCTTAGCCCACAATGCAAACTACAAGCACACGCGCGTTAAGGACCTCGCAACCTGTTGGTGATTTCCATATTTTCCACTCTCTATGCCGGCCTCCATCTCTCTTTGCTCTACTCGAGCCAACGCGCAAGTACAAACACTGACCAATAGTTCGAGCCTTCAAAATCAGGTTTTTCTTTGTCGCTCGACGGGCTTCCTGCTGGTCGCTAGGCTAGCAGAGCTCCCTGTAGCACATACCTTAATACATTCACCTCTACGATTCCATTGAAAAATTCTATCGGGCCCAATGATTAGTTGTATCTGCTAATAATTCTCGACAAAGCCGTCAGCGAATTTCGTATAAGCAGCCTCGACCATCGCTTGACTTAGCTTACACTGCCAAAATGGTTCAGCTGAATCTCTCGATAGTATAGTGCTCACCAGACTTGCTTTCGATGTTTACGAACATTATTAAGAACAGCTCCGACACTGACAAGTACCAGACTACCTATACTCTCGAAAAAGCATTTTACAACTAGGATACATTTTGAAACAGGGAAAGGAAGAGCGAGTCGAGCCAACGTAAGCACGAGTTCGACGGTAATATCCACATCGAGGTTATAAGCTAAGAGAAACTCCAATACGCTACTCACCCACGCAGCTTTCCTCGTAAAAGTTCTCGACCCCAAACAAAGCACTGCTGGGACTATTCACAGTTGCCTCAGGTTGAGACAATCTCGTCCAGGCGTGCAATCCGGTTACCGCGAGCACTAACTGACAAGCTGTGGTCAGCTAGAGCAGTTAAAATACTGAATAATATCAGCCTTCAACGAGATATATACACTCGCGTTACTGCGGCTAGAGACTCGTGTGAGGCCACAGCCAAAAAATACAGAAATATGGAAAAACGAAAAGATGTAGAGCAGGCACACAGAGCACTAACACAATCGCTACTGCTCGTGGGACACGGAGGTAATAGACCGAGTAGGCACACTTGCGAAACAACTCTCTTCGGTTATTCAGTGTAGCAGTGCACCGCACCGCCTCACGAAACACGCAAAATCACATGGGCTCTCGACTACTTACTCGCTTGCTTGTTGCCAATTCACGACTGCTTTTCGTTTCTCTTGCTCTTCCCTTCGCTCTTTCCTAGCCCCTCACTCTCCCTCCCACCAACGTGCCTTTCCGCACAGCTGTCTTTCCAACCAACGCACGGATGCACTCACACGACACACGCTTGACTAGCACGGGTCGGGTATGCAAGTGTAACCGTGATAGACGATATCCGAGAGGCAGAGAACAGAGCGGAGAAATTCAACACCCGACGTGTTCGATGACCGTCACTTATTTGTTTTCATTTGATATTTTAACCTTTAATAAACATTATTCTAGATAAATAATCTTGATTGTCAATAAATTTTACAAACGAAATCGTAGGCTTACATGACTTTAACTCAAACGGCTTGAATATGTTCAACTTTAATATTCAAACTTTTAAAATGGCAGTCGCAAACTTATACATCATTGTCATCTCTGACATGCATATAATATATACCTGACCTATACGGTACTGCCTAATGCCTATACGCCACGGAGTCGGAGTATAAAAAAGAACAACATAGAGGGAGCCAATATCGTGGAATCGTGCAAGATCGAAAAACACATCTGACATTGACACACACCATACTACAGCCCATCAGACGATGGACGTCATGCAAATTGCGATTGTTGAGATGTGAGTAGACGTGTGTCGTTTCAACCCGCATCATCCTCATCTTATAGCCTCGTACCCGTGCTTTGCTGCATGTATACACACAAGATAATTCTGAAGCAATTGTTATATTTAAATTTGGAAATTTAACAAAGAATTCAAAATATATAGAAATACATTATGACTTTGTAAACTAATGTTATTAGCAAGAGTTATTAACATTGTAGAAGTTGATTTAGAAAATAATACTGTCAAGAGTTTAACAAGAAATTTGTGAGTGTATTGATTGACCGTACAGCTGTTTGAGTGTTTACATTGGTATTGAGTATTGAAGAAAGACTGCACAGCAGCGTAGTTGCCGCATCTACATGTTTATATTTTTTCTTCAGAATTATATGTCTAACGTTTTTAACTGCTTTAATTAATAATTTGATGCACACACTCATGTGTGCATGTGCGTGTGTGTGTGTGTATACAAAACATCATTTATATAATAATCTGTCATCTTTCCAATTTGACTATAAATCTAATATAAAATCAATTTGCTCAATCTGAAAAGTAGTAAAAGAATTATCTGAACTAAATGTCTCCGCATTTTTTTTTCGTGTACCAATATTCGACAAATACAAGAGCAAAATTACGTATCTATAACCCACATAACATTAGTGTAATGCATACAAATATCCGTAGTTCGTCGTTATCTTATATTAATATTAGTATTTTATATCCATAAAATACATAAATGTACGTAGTATATTATTTCCAAAAAAGCTTAGTTTTGCGTAGAAAATACTATAATTATTCTTTATATTGTAAGGTTTGAATAATATAAATGTATAGAATTATATATAACAACGCGACTTCATTTTATTTAAAAATTAAAGTAAAATTTTTAATTTTTCATAACTCTGATATCAGTTCATAAGCTTAATAATATAAAAATATTATTAAGTTTATCTTCGGTTACTTTTGTTATAAAAGATTTTTAAGTAATATTTTTAAATAATAATAAAAAATCAGTGTATCAATTTTTGTCCAAAAATAGGGCCCCTCCGGGATTTGAACCCGGGACCTCCTGCACCCAAAGCAGGAATCATACCCCTAGACCAAGAGGCCACGTCAAGTTACGATTGCCTAATACTATATTTTATTTTTGTGCCTCTATTTTCTGTGTATAAAAACATTTTATCTGTGAATCAATATTTACAATATATTTATTTGAGAGGATTAACTTTTATATAAACTTAACATTTTTTTAAATTATTAAAATTTAAGATAAAAAATACATTTGTTTTAATTATATATTAACATAATAAAATTTATTAAACACAAAATCATTTATAAAAAAATTTATTTGTATCTCGTTTAATTTACTTTCTCTTTTCAAAATAAATAATACGTAATGTTATCAAATTTCACATTATTATTTGTAACTATAACTAATAATTCTATTGTGCTTATTAAAATTAAAAATACCATTGTCGCTTACTATGTGTAGGGAATTATATATATATTGATAACAATATTTCTTATACTACACCATTCAAACGCATTATAAGATGAAGTATTTAATACAATAAATAGATATTTTAATGATGTTGTTCTGAGATCGTATTCCAATGATTAAAGGATATTATCTAAAGAATACTTATTACATTTCAGTTCAATAAATATGTTTGCTTTTAGTATTTCATTTCAATGAAAAAAAAATAGGGCCCCTCCGGGATTTGAACCCGGGACCTCCTGCACCCAAAGCAGGAATCATACCCCTAGACCAAGAGGCCATCTGATGATGTTGTTATTATATAGGTATCTGAGTTTGAGGTTAATATAGCAGATATTTTTATACGCTATATACTTAATAATTATGATCTTTGGTAAAAATTTAAAAAGAAAAATTCTAAAAAAATTAATAATTTAGCTTTCATTTGACATGATCAAACAAAACAAATATACACGATACGCATTAAAAATTATTAATGCTTAAAAACTTTAATATTCATTTTTCGTTCAATTATAGAATAAATACTAACTTACTACATATACCTAAAATTTGATTATAAATTTATAAATATACAGAAAAAAACATACTTTCACTTTATTGATTACTGATAATGGCAGAAATCTACAACTACACATCGATAAAGTAGATATTATTGGTTTATAAATTTTTTAAATTACTGTTAATATTATGGTTGTAAAAGGTTTCTTAAAGAAGCTGATTTATCTAATTAGTATTTTTATGAAAATAGATATATAAGAAAACAATAAACTATCTGTTATATGATTTTTAGTAAATTATTATAAAATAATACTTCAGATCATCTGCAGATAATGAAGTTTTAATATTCTGGAATATTTATCTAAAAAAATGTAAAATTTTGAATCTGAAATAATTATTTATGCTCTTTTGGTAAGTGTAAACTTTTGAAGTGAAATGTTCACTAATAAAAATTCAACGTAAAGTGGATGCAAGTATCTACAAAATGCATTGGATGTATGATAAAGAAAAACAAGATGATAATTGCTACAGATGTGTTTATTTTGATTGTGTAAATGTTCAAGAGATTTACTTAGTGATAACTTAATGCTTATCTGTAGACAATTAACATAGCAGATAATATGAAAAAGGATGCTGAAAAAAAGAAAAATGTATATAACTTATAGCTTGTTTTATAGTACATGATTTATATCATACAAGTCGCAGAATATGTACAAGCAATCGATATTGCTAACGTAGAAAAAGTTGACCGCGTATTTATCGAAAGTTTTTTGAGTTGATTATGACAATGATAAGGTGAATAAAAGTCAAAAGAGCGTCTAGCGTTCGGTAATTATCAACTAAACTAATCAATGCGTTGTTGCATTGATGCATCTGCTATGGCCAATGTTGCAATTGGCTCTGGCTGCGGTTCGGGATTGACTCTTCTACTTCCAGGTGGTGCGTACCACCACCATGCTAAGAAAAAGAACAGGAGAGATGCTAGTTTTCCGACAAAGGCTAATCCAAACATGTATCTGTGAAGGAATTGAATGGATAGTCAAAAAAATATCACAGCTATTGAAAAAGAAAGTGACTTGTGAAATGGGTGACCTGCTCATGTAATAATTGTCGTATACAAGGCAAGCACCTCGACCGTCAGAAGTTTCGTGCCAAAGCATGCAAGTATCATCGATGAGAGCGCCAAAAATGATCGGAGCCGGAATCGTTCCCAATAAGCGTACTTTAATCCACTGGATACCCAGGCCGAAAGATCTTTGGTCATCGCGAACGACGCGTAGAGTCGCCGCAAGTGCAGGCATTGTACACAAAAATGTTATGAGCATATTGCCGAACGCAAGCCCAATAAAAATCCACAAGTAATTGCATTTACTATCGCACGTTGTATTCTTAGCTTCGTAATCAATGCTGTCTTTCTCGTGCAAACTGCCTGGTAACTTCGATGGTGAAACTTGGATACAGCTGCAATTTCTGTATACCTGCAGCATTCACATTAATTCAATGTATTCTATTTTTTCTTTCAATTGCCTAATAGATATGTTAGGTCCATGATAAAAACGGCAGGATCACCCTTTTACGAATACACCGATTTTGAAGCTTCATCATTTTTTATCAATTGAAGCATCTATTAAGAAATATTTGTAGATATTTTAGCAATAAGAACAATGATAAATTACTGATTTTTCAATTAAAGAGGAAGAGACACTTTTTTCCCGTGTACCCTTCATATCGGTATTGTACTATAAAGTTAAAAAAAGACTAGATCAATCAAGTTTAACTACGTAAAAAATATGAATTTGAAAATTTTCTATTATTATCATTACTAATATTTTCATATTTACGAGCATATACTTAAATCCAGATTTTCAACCGGTTTAAAATTAAATCATCGTTTTTAAATTCTATTTCCTCGTCAATTAAAGAAAAGTAATATTTACATCAACGTAAAATTTTAATGATAGTCTCACCTTATGATCTGATAGCGAAATTTCTTCTAAACAACCAGCATAACACGGAGAGTAATAAGTTATTCCATCAATACCGCAAATTGGGTTGAAATGGAACGTTGAGCAAGCACAACCTGCATTGCAAGTACTATGGAGATTTGGAACAGAAGTCCTGCAATAGTTATTAATTTATTTAGTTTCTCTATTGAATCATCTTATTAGTTTTAAAAATACCATGTGAAATGAAATGGAAATTGAAAGCATAATTGAAAGAAAGTTCGACCTCGGAAGAAACAAGTGTTTTGTCTTACTTTACTTCGTTGATGTACGGCACAGTAATCCCAGCAAAGTCCAAGTTGGGACAATTCAATATAAAACAGAGCGTGAATGCGATGCATATGCCAGTCGCAATAGTACAAAACTTAATAATGCCGGAACAAGATAAATTCCAGTGCTTTATTAAATAGCCTCCGAAAAATGTACCTCCGCCACCGGCAGGCACTGTCACCAATCCTATAATAATCATTGTGATGGCATTACTTTATTCGCAATTATTTTATTTCTCACTTTTTTTGACTATTTCAATTTCATAAAATTACTTTATTGAAGCAATTTGATGAAGCACGATGCATTAAAAAAAGTACACTTCAAATCCATTTTTTGCGAATACTCGCAGTTATACTTCTATTAAGTCAATAATAAAATGTGAATATCTCGAAAACATACCCTTTTAAATCAATCCCATCAACATTGAAATTGGTCACCGTTAAGGAATTATTCGCAAATATATCAAAAAACAGTTTAAGTTTCTGTCGAAAATACAGGACACCTCGTCCTTTTCAATGTTGGCAAAAAGTCAGTCATTTAAAAAATGAGTCATTTGTTATTTAAATTGAATAATATGTAATAAACTAATCAATTGGCGTATTCAATAATAAACGGTGTATCTAATTAAAGCAATAAATTTATTACTTTATTGGCAGAAAATAAATAAAATAAAGAACGATGGCTTTTTCACAAAGCATTAACTTTATTATTATTGTTATTGCTTGTTTTTGTTTTTTTCTTATAAAAAAGTGATGCAAGTTATGTTGAAATATTTTATTCATGATCAGCTGAATATAGTCACATGGGTAACTGTAGTGAGTAAATTGTCACTAAATATAGTAGATCGAGGCATTTTACATCGATTAATATTCAATCAATTAAATGAATAAAAATAAGTAAGACAATTTGCAAGCATTGGAAAGATAATAACGTCCACGTTCTCAACGGCCTAACCTTAAAATAATACGATAAAGTAATCTTAACCCCAATTATATTTATTTATGTGACATAAATTTTTAGAATTTATTGTAAAGTTTACCCTTGAATAAACGTCATAAAAATCAAGAGAATAATTCTTATTGATTAATTGACATATAATGTGAAATGCTGTAAATTGATTTTGGTGAACTGGGCACCGTTAATTTATTGTGAAAGAATTTTTTGAATTTAATCTCTAAATGTAAACAAAGTCTTCAAGTGATCACGGATGAACAATTGACAAAACAGTTGAAAAACAATAAAAAGAACATCTGTTATGGAGATATCTTTCGAAAACCTTGAAGCCACACACCAATATTTATGTTAAAAATAAAGAAAATGAAATTGTTAAGCGTGACTGTAGGTTCTACTTGAAAGAAAAAAAGAATAACTAACTTGATGAGCTGCTCATTACCTATATAGCTAAATATATAAAAATCTGTTACGTTATTAGATCTGAAATTATTGCTATTGGCGAATATTATTAACGTGGTTGGATTTTTATTTATTAAATAATATTGACTTACAGTGCGAATAATAAAGTTTCGAAGCATAGAATTGTTTTATGTATAGTGTATTCAAGAAATGTTCGTATGTCGTAATCAAGCAAGAGATGAGCACACGAAGCGCACTTGATAACACTGATTGTAAATAAAAATACTCATTTTTGCACCGAGTGAAAAATATTATTAATTATTATGGTCAAGAAAAATTTTGTTGGGGGCTTGTTTTGGGCAATCGATTTGTCAATTATTTTTGTGCAACAAAGTTCTCATATTGAGCAACGTTCGTGGCTGACAAAAAATATTTCGGATACAAAGACGAGTGTTGATTTTTTGACAACTTGTTTTTTAAACTTTTGTCACTTAATTGAAGTAAAACTTTTGATTATGCATAATACCTCATTTAACATACTCTGCATCAACTAAAAGTTGATGGAGTGTAATCCAATTTCTTACCCATAAGCATGGCTGCTAGACTAGCGCTAACGCTGAATTGATTTTCTATTAATTTCGGAAGGAAGGCTGCAAACCCAGCTACGAGTAAACCTTCGCTAGCCCCAGCAAGATTTAGCATGAAAAATGCTGGATTGCCTAGTAATTCGGTTAAAGCTCGAGGCAATTCGCGAATTTTGGAAAATGCTTCGCTGGCTCCTGAATTGTGAGATGACTTTTCATGTGCTTCGGACACTCTTTCCTTTGCTAAGTCTTCCGATCCTATTTAAATATATTACAATTATATTTATAATAGTTATGAAATAAATCTAATACTCAACATTCATGTCAATAAAAAACCATCAATTTCCAAATAATTTTAATATACAAGTATATGCTGTAGTGTAGACCATTTTTTATGAAAAAATGTAAGCTTAAATGTCATTGATATATCGTTTGTTTGAGATACGTTATAACTTACCAGGAAGAATGGCCGGGAAAGCTAAAATTGGAAAGGCTACCGCCAAGCAAATCAGTGCACCTGCGAGGAAGCCGATCCACCAAGCTCCAATCCATACGTCACTGTCGGGCGTTAATCCAATTCTGCAATTTTAAATCTACTTGACATATTTTTCTTAGTTGAAACTGCATACAAAACGAATTGCATTTTAGAAAAATTGTAATTGCTGAGTTCGTTGGAACGTTATATCGTGATACAGCTTTGATAAGTCGAGCCAGAACTTAATGTAATTAATAAATGTTACGTTTAACAAAATATTTGATTTCTATGAGCCACCTTAAAATAACATAAAATGACATCGAAATGAAAAAATGTACCATGAGTGACAGTTGGCTGGCTGTTGATGGTCGAATCTCCGTTATACAGACTACACAATTTTTTATATAAATAAATAAAATAAACAAATGAAAACGTTACTCGTCTGATATTTAATTATTGAAATAATGGCTAGCGATTGAAATAATGGCTTAAAAAATTGACAGCTGCTGACCAATCTTGCTTGATAGATTTTTGCAAAAGCACAACATTTTGGCGGTTATGGTTTTGTATAGTTTATTGGAATGAGCAACTTCGCTCGCATACAGCATTGATGTATCGTTTCTTCAAGCCTTGACCGTACGAAAATAACTTTGTGAATGGTTCACATGATCAATATTAATGTTGAGTCATAAGACGACAATTGTCGAAATGGATTAGGCAAACGAGGGCGGTGCTAGAGTGATTTTAGTTGAAGTTATCCGTCGTTGGGTGTTGTGTATCCAAGAGCAAATCCCTCGATGGAATGATTGATCGCTGAAATGCCCAATAGCCCTGTAGTTTGGGCACGTTTACGACACGAGTGGACTGTCTGCGTCTTACAAGATTACGTACAGTGGCTCTCATTTACTTCTGTAAATGTAGCGTGTAGCATCGAGTCTTATTTCAATTGACGTAGACTTTTACGTAGACTTTTACAGGAGAATCTTTCTTGTTCATGAAAACTCTCGGAAAATAATGGATACAGAAGTAATTACACAAAGATGAGGTTGAAAGTGATAAAGCAGTACATCAGTTGAAGCAGTTGGACGTGGCCCATTAGTTTACTACTCGACATTTCCCCCTCGGATATTTCAGCCGATGGATGGGGTTGCGCTGGTAATCCGAAGAATTATATCTTCCATAGTGGTGCACGTGGTTTTTGTCGTACGTTTGTCTCGTGCCGAGCAGTATCGACGTTAGCGCTTTTCATGCCCTAATCTTTTTCAATATTCCATTATTCGTTTCGGTTGAATTCACGTTTTTTCCAGTATTTTTTTGCAGTATTTTTTTCAAGCTGACGTGCGTCAAAATATTTGGAAAAGCAGACCAAAGGAGTCCTATTTGTATCAAAGTTGAGTTACGGGAGCCGTATGAAAGAGATGCAGACTTGTACAAATGTTGCTTCGGAAAAAAGGAGATTTGAACGGCAGTTGAGGCGAGCAAACGGTTGATCGTATAGCTAGTATAGTATTGTATACGAAGGTATGTAATTTACTGGCGATATTTCTGTGACACGTGTGTGAAGAAAAAAAGGAGATTTACTCGGAGCTGCGGGTCCACGGCATCGATTGTCACGAGGACGATCGTAAATAGTTGAAGCCTATGTATATGGTGTACGTAGGAAAGTGTGGCGCTCGAGGGGCGTGAATCGAGAGTGGTGAAATTTATGATTGGGGGACAGCGTAGTCAGAGGAGTTGGACTCGGCCAAACTAGCAGCGACCCGTATGCTGGAGGACGCGAAGGGGAAAAACTTACTGTGCCGGATCAACGCGAAGGAAATCCGCGTGGAGCTTGAGCAGTTGTCCTCCTACGACGTAGCCGAGAGCCGGACCGATCACAGCCATCGTGTAGTAAATGCCTGCCAATGAGATAAGGTGCTTGAGGCCGGTCTAGTCGCTCACGTCGCCGCTGGTAAGAAGCTGAAACGAAGCGCTGCAAGAGAGGGCAGAAGGGCTCTCACCGAGATACACCGAGGACATTTTTTTGCTGACGTTCTCGTCCAGATAAGTGACGCCGAGGGTGTAGAAGGGCGCGGCGCCCGCGCCGTGCAGCAGCTGGGCCACGAAGAACATGGCCAAGTAGAGGCCAGTGCACGGCTCCAGCTCGGCCCGCGGCGAGGCGTCGCTGCGCGCCTGCAAGCAAGCAAGCAAGCGAAGCATCGCTATTCATTCGCTCACTTGGATTTGGCTGGCGGGCCCGCGATCGCTCTAACCGACGAGTTGCTCGAGCTTCCACAGGTGTTCTCCGGCTGGTCGGCCCCTCTGTAGGAGCTAGCCAAGTAGTGCGGGGAAGCGAACAGCAGGCTGCCCACAGCCAGCACCAGCACGCCAACTCCGATGTAGCTGCAACATCGTCACTTGGCATTGGTATACAAAACCCTCTTGCTCGCTTCCCCCGATCGGCGCGGGCTCGGCGGCTAACCTGGGCTTGCTCGAGCTCGACCGTCCGCCCAAGTAGCTCACCGGAATCAGCAGGAGGAAACTGGCGATGTCGTATCCTCCGGCTATCAGTCCAGTTTGCGACGAACGGAATCCGAACCTCTTCTCGATCGTCGTTATCACCACGTTGATGAATCCGTTGACGATCATTCCTGAAACGCATTCTTTCGTGAGCGTACAGCATCGCGAGCGGACGACCGCAGCGCGTGCACGCACGAGCCGTCGAGCGAACGTGCAGCGCAACCTGCCTACTACACTTCATCCGAGCTTCTTATCGCGGGACGCTCGTGCATCGCTTGGGCACGGCGTGCACGCAGCCCTTTATCATTCAAATGGACGTCAATTGTGTCGACTTCCCGCGACTATTCACTCGTGGCTCGCAACGGCTCGGCGTTTTCGGCGTTTTCCTTTCTTTTCTTTTCTTCTCTCGTCTTTTGTCTCGCGTGCTTGTTAACATCGGCGCCTACAACCGCAATTGTCCCACACTTCTCTATCTTACCCGTCGTCTATAGTCCAGCTACTATAAGCTTCTTCGCGTATTTTCAGCGCGAGTCGACGCGATGCCACCGTTACCCGAAAGATATCGGATGTCAATCGACAACCGATTTCCAGTTCACGCGCTCAACTTTGCAACCAACTTTGAAGCGAGAGACTGACTAAAGTACGTAAAACGAGGAGCATACCTTGCATGGCGCCAGCCCAGCACAGCCAAAAAAGCGCCCACTTGGCGCTGCGAAACTTTTGCAAGTAGGACGGCCGAAACCATAACAAGCCGCACTTGAGCCTTTCTTCGGCGATGCTCTCCGCGTCTCTTGGCATGTCCGGCTTCGATTCCGGCTTCCCTTCTACGATGGCCAATTGCCCCGGCAAGCTTGATATTGTCCCGCGCACCTCCGACTCTGCTGCCCCCGACTGCAAATACCCGTTCCGTTTTTACTTCTCATTCCGATATCTCATCATTTATTATTTTCAACTGTGATCTTTCCGCGAGGTTAAGTCAACGCTAACACGTCATTGATGACTGTGCGAAGGTATATGAGGGAGCATCGATTCAACAACGAGTTTTTTAAAATCCGATTTTAAACGATTTTAAACGATATTATACGGTCACTATTTCAACTTATCAAACACTGCATTTTTCACTTTTCAATTTGCCTTTATTCTTTGAACTGAGTGTGACTTAATTTTTCACTGATCATTTGTTTTCAGCTCGTTGTAATATAATAACGCTGACGCTAAGCGTGAACCCCCAAACTGTTTGATGACATTCAGCAAATCAGCTTTAGCCTGTTAAAAATTACACTTGAATTGAGTACAGATCAAACGTAGTCAAGACAATCTCAAAACACGTACCTCGTGTACTCGTGGCATTTTTGCGGACTTAAAAAAAGTAACGAGGTAACATTCTAGAAAAACCATAAGAGTCGAACAAAAAAATAGTTAGGTGGAGGATGGTAAGGTTGACTGATCGATCAAATAATATATAAAGATAATATCAGATTCGATTTGAAGTGTGGAGTGACTCACGTTAAATGAAAATTTATCAGGCATCTTGCCAACAAAGTTGTTCACTTATCGTCGATGCGAACTAAACACTGAGCGATAAGACTAATAAGAACAATCATTAGAGAGTACATTTTGCGGAAAGACACTGAGATAACGATGGCAAGCAATGGAAGAACAGGTGGACGGAGCAAGCGGAGATAAGAGTGGAAGAAGGTGGCCGTCGTTGCACGCGTGGACGCAAGGTCGTGGCGATACGGAGCGCGCGCGGCACGCGACTGATGCTGATCACTGCCTAGTGCCGCCGGGCTGCCGGTGCAGCAGGATATGCCGCGCGGTAAACGGCTCCGAAAGGAGGGAGGCAGACGGCGGCGGCACGGCAAACAGCCGAGATACGAGATACGAGAGGAAAACGAGCGAAAGCTGCCTCCCCGTGTTTGAACAACGCACGCACCGCTCTCGCTCTCTCTCTCTCTCTCTTTCTCTCTCTCTCCGCCCTATCCCACCGCCAGCCGCCACTCCACTTTTCGCCAATTCATTCAGAAGTTGCCGGCGCACCAAGCCAACGAGTCGAGCCCGCGAGTGTGGTGGGCCCCCGCGGCACTGACTAAGCTGATCTCATTTGTCGCGCCCGCGCACGTTCAAGACAAGAATGACGATCAGCCGGCGCGCCTGGACTGCTGTGCTCGGCCCTGAGCTTGGCGGATAATAAGCCGCCGAGCCGTTGCTCAGGCAGGCGTCCAGTCGAATCTCACGTCCGACGGCTTCGACACGCCGCCGCTTTGCCTTCTTCGTTTTTTGTCCGTAACTCGATCGACGCGAACGTGCTCCCCACACGCTGCAGATTTTCCCGAAACGCCGATTCCACCGGAGCTGTTCTCTTCAAATTTATGGCTGCAATATAATGCACATTCCAAATGAATCAACATAATAGCGCCGCGTGCGCGTCTGTATGCAACTCATGGCAGCTCCGTGCACTCTGTCACGGTGAAACATTGCCCAGCTGCATTATCCGCCAAATTGCCCCCCCCCCCCGCCACCATCCCACCCCCCGCCTGCTTCATTTTCGTGGCTACATTTCGAGAGACGCATACTTTCGTGTCTAATCATCGCTGGATTTTCACATTTTATTGTCAATAGTTGATTGTGCTTGGAGCCCGCTCTCCCACGGAGATTCATGCACGCATTTCGCGCGACCCTCCCTTCGTCCCTTCGTCGTTAATTGAGCTACGACGAGCCGATGTCCATCAGCCCCCGTCAAATGTAAAACTATAGTCGAGCGCCGAGTCAATGTTTGACGAGCACTCGAGCTCTCGATCGAGTGATGACAATTTTTTATGCGGCGCGTGACTTGCGCTGCACGTGACCACGATGCTGGCTATTTCATCTAATATTCCGAAAACACAAAATAACAATACAGCGGCCGATCATTGACAATGATTTATTCATAACTAGACCACTGACCATTTCTTCGTTATTCAAGCTTATTTTCACACAGAGATCGTAATCACTGGCTTTTTGAAAAAATTGTGAGATATGCATGAGAAAGCTATTTTAAATAGCACACTGGCAAAACTGGCCTTTTTATGGTGGAAGGTCAGCGATTTTCAGTAAATCAGCTTACAATAAAAACAAAGCCTCCTGCAAGAAGAAGAGCTCGTGGAGATCTACTTCGAGATACCGAGATGCTGAAAATGTTGCCAGACAAAGAGCAATGTTTTCGGGTTAAATATTATATTAAAGTTATACCTCGCTAATTTCGGTATTTTCAAATGCTACGTTGTTTATGCCGTGAATCGTCATCTTTGAATCTGAAAATAGAAAACGGTTATGAAATGTGTACCAGTGGAAAGTACCAGTTCTGTCCCTACAATGCATAAAGCACACGTATGGAATAAGACCTATTCGCATGTGAATGCATAAAACTGGCTTATAAATTCAAGTAACAAGTGTAGACGCACGGAAGCTCTATTGAAAGTAAGCCTGTGACTGCGATGTTAGGTACATTTATTGGGCGTGCACAAGACAAAAGATTCGAACGGAGGTGCGAATGAACTGTAATAGCCTTCAGCATGGCATAACAGGATAATAGGTCTTGCGAATGCATTATAATATCTTGACCCTGCTATTCAAATGTCTACAAGCCTTACTCACAATCAACTGAGGACAAAATTAATCTTTGCTTTGAAACGGCCGCATCGACATATTTATTCTATCATTATCTTTGTTATTTTTTGCCTTGAACCTACCAAGTACAGATTATAATGACTCTTTGTTATCTTACGTATATTGATATCGCAGGAAACAAAGCTAATTCCAACGACGCCATCTGCATTTCCAAAAATTCGGTCGTTCACAATCTCGAATTATTTCCTTGTACAAAAGCAATGTCATTATCGGACTGGCAAGTGACTGGCGTAGTTGTTAAGTTGTGCGCTCATTGCGATTAATCTTTTGATTGTTAAACACAGGCGAATTAAGAACATGTGACGAAACAATTCAAAAGTACAGTACTTGTATTGCTGACACAACTCGGTAATGAAAGATCATAGAAACCATGCACTTTCTTACGTAAAGCTTCAGCAAATTATACATAATATCATATGCTCAAGAATGTCAAAGCTTTAAGAGGAAGGAAAGCCAAATTTTCAACTTTTAAAACAAATTTTTCATCGACATTAATAATAAAACATTTGAGTTTTTCGCTCGATAAACTTCATTTTCAATGAAATTTTGTTGCTACGTCGATGTAAATTTACAGTGCTAGCTGCGTAAGATGCACGTGATAAAGTAGCAGGCTGAAAAGTGCACAAGTCACTAGATCTGCATATGGCGACGGAGTAAGCGTAACTTTTGCCTTACTGGGGGAAATCAACTTTATCGCATGAAATTTACATGCTAGCTCTTTGTGCGATAAAAAATGGAAAACGTACAAAGCTACTAATAAAAGATTATTCTTTAAAATGAAATAGCTAAGATAAAATCATTCATAGTTCAAGAACGTAGCACGGGAAGGTAAACTGGTTATTATTACATATACATAATTCATCGAGACGTTAATTGAATGATTTTCTCAGACACTCTGGCAGTATTATAATTAATTTAATTTAATTAATTCTACCCTATATAAAAAACTGATGGCCTGCCAAGTCAAGTCATTTTATTCGTAATCTGATTGGCTGACATCATGTATTAGTATGTATGTGTATACGAGTATGTACGTGTTTTGGATTTGCGTATTCAAGCCATTATTAGCACAGAAGCTGACATTCAGCAAATTCGTACTAATAAATATCTCGAGTCGTTTTACATTGATTTTATATTCATTGATTGAGTGAATAATAATAAGCAAGATACTTCGTAGGCATTGAAAAAATAACGTCCACATTCACCCAACAGCTTAAAAATAAAATAATATGCTCGAAACAATTTTAATGCTCTTACATTACATTTATTCTTAGAACATATGAATTTATTAAATATCTCTGTTACTAAGTTTAAATTCAAATAAACATAATTAAAGATGAAGAGAAACATAGATTGATAGATTATTTTATAAATAAAATACTGTGAATTAACTTCGGCTGATGTGGTGCAGAAATTTATTCAAAAAAATGTTTAAATTAAAATGCTTATAAATATAAATATAACCTTAAAATTGTTACGAATGAATAGGAAAAAAATAACAGAATATAGCTGCAAGTGAAAATGTTGAAATGAAATAGAGTTCGCGAAAATTACTGCTCCAAACCAACCGAAACCTGAAAGAGAAAACACCTGTTGATAAGAAGATATCCTAAAAAAATTATAAACCGTGGACAAATAGATTAAAAAACAAAGAAAATTAAACTGTCCGGTGCAGATGACAGTACCAGGTATTTGACAGAGACAAAGGAGAAATGAACTTGATACATTGCCCATTATCTATGGCTAATTAGCTAACATCTAAAGATCTGCTACATTATCGTTATTTCCTTTTGAAATTATAACTACATATGTGAATATCATCGTAATTAGATTTTTATTTGCGAATTCATGTTGACGAAAGTTAAGCACATTATAGCATAGAAGAAATATTTTATGTATGCGGTGTATTTTATAATAGTTTTGATTTGATTCAAGCATGAAATTAAATATTAATACAAACGAGAGATAAGTGCGCGAAGCGCGTTTGATTACACTAGTAATGGTATAAAATGTTGTGAACAATTAGTTTTTTCGTAAACGACGACATTCCATACTTCGCGATAACGTACCTGCCATGTTAATCTTGATGAGTATATAAATTTCAATATTTTTTAAAAGTAGTATACAAATACTCAAATGCGTGTCTGATGATTAGAGAAAGCAGTGCCGTTGTCCATTATGTTTGGCGCGAGATATTATAACAATCAGTAGGCGTGTCAGAATCATCATATAATTCAGTTGATTAGTCGGATATAGAGCCGCGACACTCGATAATATGCCGTCAATATTCACTTGTTAAATTTGACAGGTTATAAATTGTAAATTGGCTAGGATATGTCGCACTTCCAGCGGCTATTGACAATATAGTGCCGATTCTTTTGTCGGTCTCTCGTCTCATTCATAGCCTATACTGCAACACCAGAGTGGGGCTGATTACATGATGCAGTTACATTTTCTTGTATCACGTCATGCATTATGCTCAGCGGTATTGTTCAATTTCATTAAAAAACAATACTTCTCTTTGATATTGTTAATAGACTTTAATGTCAAGTAAACGTGTGGAAGGATAGTTTACCTGACTGATTGCTACATGCCATACTCTTTATAATAATGCAGTATCATTTCCATTGATTAATTGAATGTATATCCAAAAAGATTATAGAGATGTGAGATGGCATTTATTGCGTGACTCATGCCGAGCCAACAGCATCAGAAAAAGTCGATGAGATAACAATGGCAAGTTCGTTCGATAAATACTGATGCATCGATGCAGAGGTAAAGTTTGTCGGTTTCACATAGGCAGTGGATGCATTTTTCGCAGGTATGTGCCCAGACGTTCAACTCAAACGAGGATGTAGAAATAAAGTAGGTAGGCGAAAAAGAGAGCCAGAACAAGTAGCTAAGTGGCTACCTGGAACCAATCGAGTCATCTCCAAATAAAGCAAGTACTGTCTTTGCTAGCGGTCACTATAGTATCGCCAGCATAGGAGAACGCACAGCTGAAAACTTCGTCAGTGTGTCCCGTAAAGCTCTGAATACACTGCCCTGACTCGAGCGTCCACAGCCGTGAGCTTCTGTCCGAAGACGCAGTCAATAGCTGCCGACCATTCGGACTGAAACATACTACGCGTTCATTCGATTCTATATGTAACTGTTTGAAATAATTGGTTACATGATTGAAAACAGCAATATTTTACCTTTGGAAACTTCTTCTTGATGCCCTTCCATAACGGTCACTTGATGAAAATCGGCAGCAGCTATATCCCAAACTCTGGCAGTAGCATCGCTACTTGCGGTGGCAAGTTTCCTCCCTCTATTATCAAAGCTCAAATCCAAAATCTCATCTTCGTGGCCTGTCAAAGTGGCCAAGCATAAATTATTCATTCTTTTGTCCCAAAGCTTTGCGGTTTTGTCTAGTGAACAACTTGCTATGAGAGACTCATCGAAGTTATATACGCAATTTGAAATTTCTTCTTGGTGCCCGATGAAAAGATTTGTTCGCCTAGATGCCGACAAGAGCAAATGTCGCTTAAGTCATTTTTTCGAAAACATGGATGAAATTTTCAAGACATTCTGAATTGATAAAATAATATAAAAATCAATCTAAGCCTACTCGCGTCACACGCATACGAATAGGGGAAACCCGGGCCGGTTAGTCGACAGGGTAGGTTGACCGATGGCTAATATATATACATATAAAACTCGCGATTAAAACGATAGATCCTCGTCATGGATGATATCAGTGACGTAGATAAGTCCAAGGACTGTTTGCTTCCACTTTCAGTTGGAAAGCATCATTCATCACGGAAATAAATAAGTTTGAAATTTATTGCCATCTATTTCGTAAAAATTTTATTTCTGAAAAAATTTAATACCTCATTCAAAATTGACGATTTTAAAAAATCACTCAACGTAATTTGTAGAGAATGCTTTTTTATCTATCTATGATTTCTATTTATTTATTTTTTGTTGACAATTTATAATATTATTAATTGAACATAAAAATTGACGTGCACACTTGGGACATATTGGCCGACTTTTGTCGGGGTAAGTTGGCCGATAAAAAAGTAAATGGTCATGCGAGTTATCTATTAATAAATTGTTTTGTCGAAAGCCTGAGCAAGAGATCCGACAAAAAAACTAAAAGCAAAAAGAAAATCAAATATTTTGACAGACTCTTCAACAAGAAATTCATTGGCTGAAGAAAAAATTAACAGTCAGAGTAAAAAAAGAAAGATACAAGATAGTAAAAAGAAGTTGGACAATGAAAATAAGTAAAGAAAGAATAGATACGGTCAATGAAAATATTTAGATGGAACAAAGAAGAAGAAAAAGAAAAAGTTGATGATAAACCGGATGATTTTAAAAAGACTAATGAAGACTGGGGCTCTATCTTGTTTATGAAGAAAATGTCAGTGAAACTAACTGTCAAAATTGGATGTACATCATGCAAAAATTGGTTATATGAATGATGTACAGGCAAAAAAAAGTGTTATGTTTATTATAACTGCACGTGAAGTATTTATTTTGATAGTTATTTATTTACTTGTTTAATGTTTAACATTTGTTAATTTTTGAAAGTCAAATATTATTCCAGTTATTTGTTTTAAATTGACACTTACTCCATTATATTTAGAAATAAAAACAATGTCACAGCTATATTATGTGTTTTTATTCAAAACTTGCGCCAATATGTCGACCAACCTACTCCGTATGCGGGGCAGATTAAAATACTTATTACGAAAAAAATTGTATATAACTTTTTTTGGTTTCAATGAATATCTTTGAAAAAAATCACTAGTACTCCCCAGATAGAGAGCTTACAAGTAATCTTTTTTGTTTTACGATTGACTTTACAGTTTCTTAGAAAAAAATAAAATGGAAAAAGTATAATTGCAACGGGTTCAAAAATACAAGTATCTAGGAGTCATAACAGATTACAATTAAAAATGAAATAGTTACATAGACTACATAGTAAACAAAACTAAATACTTAATCTTCATTTTTTATAAATTAGCTAAGCTTACTTATTGCCACAGTTGTAATTATGATCTATTATGCACTATTTTATGGCGTGATAATTTATAGTATTACAGATTAGGGAGAAGTTTACTTTAGTAGATTAATTCCATTACAAAATTTACAAAATAAAATATTTTAAATAATATGTAAAAGGAAATTTTTAATCAAAAGTTATCCGCTAAAACTAGAACTCCTATATCATTATAAAGAATTTAGTTCTAAATTTTCGATTTCAAGTAGTATAACTAAACACAAAAGTTTACTGATACCAAAACTGAAAAAAACAATATATAAAAGTAGTGGTTATATAATAGCATTAAAAACGTATAATTTGTTACTAAAATAATTAAAATTATTAAGTACCAGCAAAAGAAATAGTAAATAAAAAATTTTTTTTAAATAAATCTAAAATCAAATATGAACTGTTATATTATTAAAGTTTATTAAACTTATAATTTTTCTTTTAGCATGTAAGTTTTAGTTATATTTAGTTATATAAGAGTTTTATATGTACCATCTAAACCTACACACAAGGGGTATATTTCCTTCAGTAAGTGGTGTAAAGCAGTATAAATGCTTATTGTAATTTGTATAATAAATTATTATTATTAGTTAGTTAGCCAATCTGCCCCGATCTCCCCCACTCGTCCTATTAACAAAGAATATTATTAGAGATACTTTATACACAAATTCGCTTTAAATTTTTCCACTTTCATCCGCTATAAGCTTCAAGTGCATCGATATGTGGAGACAATATGATTCTACGCATTTGCCAGAACCTGAGTTTATTAATTCTCCGAGCTTTCTGGCCTTACAATAGTTTCGAGTAAAAAATCATAAGCTTTCCATGTTCACAGCTGTTTCATTGGCTATCTACAACCTCGAGCACTCGAACAAGGCGCACAAATTTAAGCTAACTCGAAAACTCGAAGACAGTTTTGGCAAAAGTTTAGCAGATTCATTGTATTTCATATCTCTTTTATTCTGCGATAACTTTATAGATATACGGAGTGAACAAATAAACTCACTGATACGTCCGGCTATCCCAAACACTGATAGTTCTATCAAATGATCCTGTGATCAATTCGTTCCCATCGCCACTATAGCTTAGAGCAATAACTTCTGCAGTGTGACCTCTCAGGGTACCTAACTCTTGACCTAAAAACCATTTCAATTTCCATTGTAGCTTATTAGTTATATTCCAGGAGAAAGAAATTTCAATTGTGTGCGATTAAAACAAAGAATATCAATATTACGAAGCGAACAGAACTATGCCAGTTTCAAGTTACATTTTTATTTCATTTATTCGTATGCTTTAAATATACTTATGATTATTTTTTAATTCTATAGTGAAATTCACTAAAAAGCGCTCTGTTATAAAGAATTGAATATAATTACCAGTAGAAATGTGAAAAATTTTAGAAGTGGCGTCCATCGAACAAGTAGCCACTTTATTTTGTGTAGGCGAAAAGTGTGCCGCCACTACTTCAGCATTATGACCCCAGAGAGTGATAAGACAGCAGCCCGTTCGAGAACACCAAACACGGGCTGATTTATCGAACGATCCGGTCAGAATTTTGTCACTGAAATCATTTCCAACTGAATATTATCAACAACCAATGATACATTATTTCTTTCTTTTGATAACAATTAGAAAATAAAGTATTTTGTTATAATAGCAATAAATTGCACTATGTCGATCAAATACCGATCGTAACGTTTAAAATTAAGATTCATTACATGATCTGCTGACATACATTAATTATTCCAGAAGGTATATTTATTTAAGCTTAAAAATACTTACGAACTTGGTTTGTTAAAGGAAACGGTATAGACTACGTTCTTATGGCCCTCGAGAGTAAGAAGCTCCTTTCCACTCTCAATGTCCCAAACCTTACAAGTTCTGTCATAGCTGCCCGTCAGGCATCTAGAATAGATTTGATATTGTACCACGCTTAATCTTTAATGACAATCATTTGTTCGATAAGATGTTTAGCTCTACATAGAAAATATTGTGGCAGCTGAACAAAGGCGAATACGTTTTATGTGAAGCTTGCTTTGCGACTTTGTAAAATGTGTGCAGACGTTGGGTAGCAAATAAGCAAATAAAAAGTAGACAACAGATAATAGGGAGGATAAGACGAAGAGTACCTTTTACCTAGTTTATCGAACGATATATTAGTGATGGGTAAAAGATGGGTCTTTAGTGTCTTATATTTATAAAATTGCTTAATCTCTTCGTCAGAAACTTTGGTTTGTAGTCTTTGTAAAGTGTCAATAAGCTGCTCCATAACTCCATCGGTAATGATTGGCTCGGTTGCTTTAATATTGTCTGCTAAACTTCGTATATCTGTGCTGAAAAGTTTCACGTTTCATGGACTGAATATACTCATTAAAATGAATATAACTTATCGATGAACGATTGAACGATTAAGAACTACGCGATATAAGATATAAGTCTGTATCGGTATACGTTACTGTTAGTAGTGATCGAGTAGATTTTAACGTATCTCCTTCAACGTAATTCAATCAAATTTTAGAGGTATGTTCAGTCATTGACAAATATTACAAACACATCTTTTGAGCGCGCGTTTTCGTTTCGATTTATTGATTATTTCCAAATTCACTGAGATATAATAATAAATGATAACTATAGTTTTCCATATGCATATGGCTTGCTACGTTTAAAATATATAAAACTAACTTGGCAGTAAGATCTAACAGATCTATCATTTTTCTTTTGATGTTGCCTCCCTGCGTGTACTCTAAAGCAATTCCTGGAAGCATAGCGCAATAATTAGGTTGAAATTAGCACGACCTACTATCAGTATACAGATCACCCCGTAGTAGGTATATTTTCGATATTTTCTCTCACACAATTAGCGTACTCACCAGGAGGGTAATAACGTAGCAAAAATTTATGTAATTTCATTTTGTAAGAAACGTTATTGAAATTGAAAATTAAAGCGATGCAATGCCGCGTGTCCAGTCGATAGCTTGATAAGCTCGATCCATAAGGCAACCATCCATTTGCGCAAGTGTTTCTTACCTAATCAAGGGCACTTCTATCACAAGCCAACTGAAGCTAACACAAAGTATTTACAGCCGCCGTTGTTAAGCAGTTTGCTTGATCAATTTTCTTGCGCTTTCTATATATATCGCTACAGGGTCACCTATGTGAATTACGTCGATTTTCAATAAATTCCTTTATCAATATCATTGTAGATCCGTCATTAATGCTTTTTATTAAAATAGCTGCACATCCAATGTAGATGCATAAACAGAAATTTTTTCAATCAAACACGCCTCGTGCTCAATTTTGCATTTTTCCAATTTAGTTTCAAATCGAAAACCGACAAATATTTGCATCCCAAGGTTGCTTTCGATAGGTTCGTTTATCTTATAAATGATTTTTTATAAACAATAGGGACAACAAGCCAAATTTTCAACAAGATATATTTCTTTCGAGAGCTAAAATTTAACGAAAGTATAAGTAGTAGAACAATACGTAAATATTATAGTACATCTCAATTCTAATGCGAGAAAGTGATTTATTGAGCTATTATGTGTTTTCGACTTTTTATCCTCGGTTTGCTCGAACGCAAACAACCATGCAACGTTCAATATGTATATATATACAATATTAGCTAAGTGCGGGAATGTAGATTCTCGTCTCGTGTCTTTTTCTACTTCGCTCAGGCATTAATCCTCATACCTGATGAAAACCTATTCCCCGTACCATTTAGCTATATGCATATCGTAGACGTTGAGCACTAGGTTTATATGCTGCTCACTCTCTACTTTTAAATCGAAGTCAATGGTTGCGAGACCACCGATTACCATGGTAACACACAGCCACCACAGTATATGCACGGTTGGCAGAGCCAAATAAACATAACCCTGTTTAATTATTTTATCACTTTAATTTAATTTTTTAATTCTTACGCAAACAAAATCTATACACCAATTCGAACTACTATTTTATGACTTACTTAACTTTTCGTCAAAATGTCATCCGACACTGAAAGATATATTTTTGAAGCCGAGTGGTATGACAAAGTTGCTTGTATGCTCAAAAAGTTTTATTTATATTATTTTCCATCAGATAACAGCGTTGAACTTGTAAGATTCATATCTTTGCATTGCATTATTTATATTATACTATAATACAGTAAGTTAAATTGTTTTATTTTTCTTGTAGTTTGATTTAAAGACAAAGAAAACATTTTTAAGAAGATCAAAATGTGAAGGAGTAGAGGCTAAAGACTTTTATGTTGGTGCCATTGTAACTATATTTTCTCGTAGTATGAAAATTACAAATTTTGCTGATCAAACTACCAAGGAAAAGTTATCTTCAAAAATATCTAAGTATTAGTCTTACTTATCTAAATGAAATTCAAACATATAATAATTTGATTTCATTAATTTTATTTTAGAACTTTTATGATAATCAAATCTGAAGTAATTGACAGGATGGGTGAAATTTTAAAACAAGTAACTGATCATGACTTTCACATATCTAACATTAAAATGACTACAATCAACAGAGAAGAAGCTTTAGAAATTTTCAAACCAGTAGACAATGAAATACAGTTGGTACCGTCAATTTAAATAAAAAGTATATATTATCAACTAGTCAAATGAGTTAATTTGCATATTACAGGAATGTTATTGATACTATAACATCTGGTACAATTGTTGCATTAGAAATACTAAGTCAAGATTGCAATGCCAGATGGTTAGAACTCACTGCTGCTTTTGAAAAAGATGCAGTATTGAATAATATTTATGTACCAGATAACAAGGATGTAAGGAAAAATATTTTGGCATTTCAAGTACTTATGTATTTAATAGTGATAAATTATATTCAATATCTTTTAGATAGGGCACTATTTCTTTTCTTCAGAAAAAAAGAAAAAGTGTAGAATGAAAAATTCTGCAAAGCTGCAAAACTGCACTTGCTGTATTATAAAACCACATGCTGTACAAGCAAGATTAACAGCACAAATTATTGATGATATACAGAAAGCAAATTTTACAATAACAGCTGCTCAGCAATTTTTTATTGATCCTGTTAATGCAGAAGAATTTCTAGAAGTTTACAAAGGCGTTCTTCCTGATTATGCAGTAAGTTATTTGATTTTCTCAAATTAGTCTATTGTTATAAAGTACTTGAAATTATATTTAAGGCAATGGTCAATGAATTACAATCAGGCCCATGTATAGCAATGGAAATTACACATTCCAATGCAAATATTGATATTGTTGCTGAGTTTAGAAAACTCTGTGGACCAATGGATCCTGTAAGTGTAATATGTTTTGAAATATAAAGAGTTTTTATATTTTCTTTGACAAGGAATTTTTATAGGAAATGGCTGTACAATTACGACCTACTAGTTTAAGAGCAAAATATGGGAAGTCTAAAGTTCAAAATGCTGTTCATTGTTCTGATCTTTCTGAAGATGGAGTATTGGAGGTAATTAGTTATTGAAATATTAGAATATTTATATGGTATTTAAATAATGTTTCCTTCATTTTTTAGGTAGAATATTTTTTTAAAATCTTAGATGAAAGTTGATCGTACTGATGTACAATTTTACATTAGTATCTGTATTATATATAAAATTATTTTGATAATAAATAATACCCGTATTACACGTTTAATAATAAATTGTATAAATTTATAAATTGCATACCGTCAATTAACTAATAACAAAATATTCAAATTTTTATTAAAAGTTAATATTTTTAATTACATTTGGACCTTTTTTTTATAAAACAGTTTTCCCTTGCATTCTGGTCCAATAATTGACATTCTTTAAATTATTTTTCTTTAATACAGAACGAATCTGAAAGTTAAATATTTAAATATTTTTCTTTGTTAAACAAATCATTTGTAACATACATTTTACCTACATTAATTATATATTATATATGTATAACTAAATTCGTGATGCAATAATTGGTATCTACCTTACCGTTGCTGGGTTCGACATTTTTTTTATTCTGTACACATATATATATATATTTGATGGCACATCATTTTTCTTACGAATTATTGATAGAAAGTCTTCTAAACAAGTGTTACTTTTTAATTAGTATTAAAGAAGGTATTATCAAATTTATCAAACTAGTTTTTTGTAATAATATATTTAAATCTTAGTACATGCTAAATTAAAAATATTGAAATATGATGATGTAAGGTTAGAATTCACAAATTGAGCATATGTTATTGACATGACAAATTTATATTATTTTAATTAATTATGAAAAAGCTACGCTCATTTCAAAATATCTTTTAATTGAACTGATGTAACTTTTTCATTGAAAATACTTGTGTACTAAATTACTACTATCAAGCTTTCATGATTCCATTTTATCAATTTTAATTAATGATGATGTTACTAATTATGTATTTTTTGGCAATGCAGCATTTTTTATAGAATTTTCAAATTTATATAATTTAATTTTCATAGCTGGACAGTACTTACATCTGAACATCGTCTTACAGAAAGTGTAGCGATGGAACAGCAGGTACAAAACAGCATAAAAGTACAATTAATTTAATATTTATAAAAAAAATGTGAAGACCTTTTTAATAATATTCCATATGATCCTATCATTTTACTAAAATTTCTTCACAAGCTTGTTCTTGAATTTTCACATTTTGTTTAAGTACTTTTTACTTACAATAATAAAATCCACACTAATTATAATTTAGATTAACAACGTGACTTTCTTCTGCATCTACCATTTAAAACATACTTTTTAAGCATGGCATTAAAATTTATAATTTTTAGATGGAAGCATACTATAAATGTTTTTATTACTAAGTCTTATTTTACAATACAATTATATATATATATATATATATATATATATATATAATAATCATAACAAATTTTAATTTGTAACAGAATGCATCAAAAGTTAGTCGATCTGCAGCTAGACATATACGAAGGAAAAGATTAATTGCTGCTCGCAAAGAAACTGAAAAACTTGAGCTGTCTTTGTGTAATAGTATCAGTAATCAACAAATTATTTCTGTTGAAAAGGAAATTCCAACAAATGTGTGTAGTTTGAATGAGAAGAGTATAAATATCCACCCATTGAAAATTACTTTTGACAATGATGAAACCACCAGTATTAGCACCAATGTGAACATTTTAAAATATTCTAAAAATATTATTGCAAATGAAGTTGTTGAAAAACATGGTTCTTTAACAAATCAAAGAAAGCAAGATAAGAGTATACATACAACTCACGAACAGAAAAATATAGCATCAACTGTGGCAAATACTTCCACGTATTGTGAGAACTTCATTATCGATTGTAATTATCAAAATAAAATGAACAATCAAGAAAAACCGAGAGACAATGTTGAATCTGCGAGAAAAGCCAGGAAAGCAGCAAAAGCTGCAACAAAAACAAAAGCCAAAGAGAAACCAAAAACAGAAATTGAGTCATTGGACCAAGTAGATGATGCTCAATTGTTCAATGTGAAAGAAAAAATAAATCATAATTTACAAAATGAAAGCTTACTTGAAAATTTGGCAGTGATTAAAGAAGCTCAAACAGAAGTAAAAAGTAAAACTTTTAATAAAAAATCTGAGGACAATGCTAAGCCTTCAGAAGAAATTAAAATAGATGCAAACACATCAAAAATCGAAGAAAAAAGTAAATCTGAATTACGAGCAGAGAGGAGAGCCAAACAAGAAGCTCAAAGAGCAGCCAAACAAGAAGCTCAAAGAGCAACCAAACAAGCAGCAGATAATAGGGCTGTTAAAAAAATATCTGAAAAAATATCTGATATAAAATTAGCGAAATCTATAGAGCCTAAGGAACCAGAAAAACAAATTATTACAAAACCACAAGCAAAAAGTAATCCACATGAAGTGAAGTTGTTCAAACATTTGTACATAAATAGAAAAAATATTTCTGAAATAGTTAGTGGTACTATGAAACTTCATCCAGTAATACTGAGATTAGGTGTCCAGTATGCAGAAAAAATAATTGTTGGTAGTAATGCAAGATGTGTGGCTTTGCTTGCTGCTATAAAGCAACTTATTAATGACTTTGAAAGACCATCTCAAGCAGATTTCACAAGAGGTTTAGAAACAAGCCTGCAAGAATCTGTAAACTACCTCAATTCTTTCAGACCATCAGCTGTATCAATGCAAAATGCATTAAAACATTTGAAATGGCAAATGTCTATTTTATCCACTACAATATCTGATGAAGAGGTAAGTCTTATTATTATTTCTTTTTAATTTACTTTATCCTATTAGTTTTGTGATTAATAAGGTAGCTGGTTTTTAGGCAAAGTCAAAATTAGCTCATGCAATTGATACATACATAAGAGAGCAAATTTTACTGGCTGATACAGCAATATCTGATGCAATACAAAAGAAAATTTCAAGAGGAGATGTTATACTTACTTATGGATTGTATGAATTATTTACATAATCTTGGTAATTACTAAAGCTTTTATTTTAATGAGCTTTTGATTGCAGCTCTTCATTAATGTACAAAATACTATGTGACGCTTTTAAAGCAAAAAAACAATTTAGAGTAATTATTATTGATAGCAGACCATGGTTAGAAGGAAAGGAACTTTTGAGACGGCTAGTTAAACACGGAATAGATTGTTCCTACATGTTAATTAATGCTCTTAGTTATGTGATGCCTCAAGTAATAAAAAATTATGATTTCAAAAGTAGAAGAATATGATAATTGTGTATTATTATTAATTTGTTAATTATTGTAGGTTAACAAAGTTTTTCTAGGCGCTCACGCTATATTAGCTAATGGAGCCGTTATGTCGAGAATTGGTACAGCACAAATTGCATTAATGGCAAAGTCATTCAATGTTCCTGTACTTGTAGCCTGTGAAACTTATAAATCTTGCGAACGTGTACAAACGGATTCCATTGTATATAACGAAATAGGTAAGGCACTACGTTAATGATCGGTACTATAAGATTCATAATATAATGATAATTTCAATTTATTTCGTAGGAGACCCCGATTTATTGATAAAAAACACTTTAAAAAAGTCGAGTTTAGCAAATTGGAGAAGTAAAAAGACGCTAAATTTGCTAAACATCACTTACGACGTGACTCCCGCAGATTTAGTTACTGCAGTCGTTACTGAATTGGCTATTTTACCTTGTACTAGTGTTCCGGTAATACTACGAATTAAACCATCCGAAATGTAATTTGTAAGTCTGAATTGTTGCGAGGGATCGCTGGATGACGCATCAATACCCACATACAGTGATTATGAATAGTTTTTTAGTTGAATGTTTCTGACTTCGTTAACATATATGTAAAATAATATCGTTCATAAACTTTTAATACTTACACTCAAATAAAGTATTTAATAGACTACAGTAGTTATTTGGTAGGATGGATAGAAAATGACAAAAACCAACGAGCTTAGGCGTAAAAATGTATTAAATGAAGAGAAATATGTACAAGAAGAGAAACGAGGGTGGTCAGTTTTTGGGCAGCTTGTACAAGCCACCGGAGAAGAGCAGCAAATGTTCGCGCACTTTCTTGTCGAGGAAAGCCCGTAGCTCGGGCAAACCGCACTCGACCGCGCCGGAACCCTGCGAAGCAAACATCTTGAGCATCTGGTGGATGCGCTCGAGGGGCATGGAGTCGAGATTGGTGAGCATGCCAACGATGTAGGACCAGAAAACCTGCAGCTCCTCCTCGCGCTGGTCGCTGGCCGAAGCCATCACGCTCTCGGCCTCCTCGTCCTCGATCATGCCGGCGAGCAGCATGCCCTGGCTAGGTTGACAGCTGGGCCGCGCACCCTGCTGCAGCTCCTCCTGCAGGCTAAACCGGTCGGGGCTGGGCTCGGCCAGGATCGCCTGCGACAGCCAGAATCCGATTCTGCGCCGCAGCACTGTGCTGGGCACGTGCATCGCCTCGGCCAGCTCCTCGAGGCTCCACTCGGGGCGTCGCTCGAAGTGCATGATCACGGCCGCGTGGATGGGCGACACGTCGAGCTTGAGCCTGCGGTCGCGCAGCTCGATCTCCAGGCCGACGCTGCCCAGGTGGCTCTTCCAGCAGAGCGTGCGGCTGCCCTTGAGGGCCTCGAAGGCCCTGGCGTAGCGCTCGAGCTGGCGCTGCACGGGCGCCGGCAGCTCCAGCCGCCAGTCCTCCTTGAAGGGCGGCCAGAACTGGGCCGAGAGTACGAGCGCCGAGGTGGCGAAGGGCGCCCGCTCGGACTCCGGCTGCGCCTCGAAGGCCTGCTGGATCGAGGCGTCGATGCGCTTCGAGTCGCTGATGTCCTTGAGCATGACCTCGCAGTGGTGCAGCTGGTGCTCGCCGAAACGTCGCTTCAGCAGCTCCAGCTGGCGCGCCTCGCGCTCCGTGCGGTAGTCGAGCTGCGCGAGCAGCCGGTCAGCCAGCAGCGTGCGGTACTCGTTCACGAACAGGTCCTGGCTGCCGTACACGCCGACCAGCATGCCGATGATGTCGCTGGTGCGCCGCCGCGGCCGGGCGTCCGCGCCGGCCGCCGTGCCGCCGGGCGGCGCGCTCGGGCCCGCCTCGGCGCCCCCCGCGCCCTCCCAGCCCAGACCGGCCTGCTCGGCGTCCACCGGCTCGGGCATCCAGGCCTCCCAGTCGTCCGCGCCGTCCGCGCGCTCCCCGCCGCCGGCCGACTCGGGCCGCGCGGCCTCAGCCGCGCCTCGGGCCAGCTCGTCGGCCAGGTCGCTCGAGCTCGACTCGTCCAGCAGGCCGCTGACCACGCAGCGCACCGTGTCCTCGCGGCCGCGCAGGTAGCGCTTGACCGGCTCGGTGATGAGCTCGAGCATCGCGCCCGTGGGGTCCAGCTGGCGCAGCGCCTTGATGGCCGCGACGTAGGCCGTGAGGATGTCGGGGGTGCTGACGCCCGGGTGCAGCAGGCGCGCTCGCAGTGCCCCCTGCAGCGTGCGCACCAGGTAGGCGCGCAGGTCGGTGCGCTGCAGGCAGGCGCGCAGGTCGTCGACGGCGGGCCGCGAGTCCGGGTACTCGATCACGATGTTGAACAGCTGCTCGATGCGCACCCGCGTGTACGTCTCGTAGAGGAAGTAGCCGAGCTTGTGCTTGAAGCTGTTGACGGCGTTGCGCACCTTGTAGTCCAGCGCGAGCGAGCGCGATGAGCCGCCCGAGTAGATGCGCACTAGCCAGTTCATCACCACGCCCTCGAGCCAGTTCTCTAGCGGCTCCAGCTGCGACACGTCGAAGCTCCGGCTGCACACCTGGTTCACGTGCTGCTCGATGCGCACGTGAATCAGCGACGTCAGCGTGCTGCCCACCAGCCGCTCCAACAAGCCTAGCTCTATCAGCTTCTTGTTGGTCTCGTGAAACACGTCCACGATCGCCTGGCACTGGCAGTCGTTCTGCTCGTGTCCGCAGCCTTCGCACAGCATTGCATTGCTGTTGTGCACGTCATCCGTCGGCGGCGACGCCTCAATGTTGCAGAATACGTTGAAAGCCGTCTTATAGAAGTGCTCAATAATAATTGTATAGTCTAGTGGAATTTGACTCAACAGTGTGCCACGAATGACCAGCTTGAAGTAGTCAAAAGTGTTCATTTGACTGTACATGCAGTAATCATTTTTACATGGCCCAGCCAGCTCTAGTTTCTTCAAAGTAGGCAACAATTTACTAGAGTCAGAGTACAATTCAGCCACTGAACTTGTGAAATTTTCAAATCCTTGTTTTTCGTTGCATTCTGTTGCATCTGTGAACTTTGACCAGAACTTTGGCACTATAACTTTCCTCATATACTCTTCTATTTTTGGAATCACAAGACTTTGTAAGCAAAATGACAATGACAACATTTTGCAACTTTCTTCTGTTGCTTCCAACTCATTGTTGTATACTTCTGGGTTAATTTTATCTTTCAGAATTGGAAAGTTATACTCAAGCCATCTTTCTATAGCATTTGATTGAGAATTAGCAGGTTCTTCCATAATTTACCAAATTTGTTAGTCTATACAGTATCAATGCATTACAAGCCCTAAATGAAAATGAAGGAAAGTAAGCGTTAGCTATTTGTAATCAAATCTTCAGATTGTCAAATAACAATGGATATACCTATTGATCTATGAGTACTTTTAAAAACTACACGTATTCAGCAGCATTACTTTCATGTTGATCTACCAAGTTTAAAGATTATTAAAAAAGACTTTTGCAAGACAAATTGAAAAAAAAACACTTGAACCAATACTGTATTTTTCACTTTTATAGACTCTATCATGGAGACTGTATAGTCCCACGCTCTATATTCATTGCTGTAGATTAAAGTAACGAAAACAGCTGTGATGATAATCACGTGACTAATCAATCGAGACTATACTGGTAGAAAAAAGATTGATTTCCTCAAAAAAAAAAATACCATTAGCTTCGTCTTAATTTCTACCATCTGAAAACTGCTATTTTGTAATTTGTACCCCTTAAAATTTTTAAAAAAATCGAAAAGAATGATATCTCGGAAAACTCATACTCCTGACAGAAAAATGATACCTTAAAAAAAATTATCACTAGTTTCGTCTTAATTTGTACTACCAGAAAACTGCTTTTTTGCCCAGATAGCACTGTGGAGGCATTCTGCCATCAGAATGTACGTCCACCCAGATAGCAGCGCATGCCGTCACGAAAGACGATAGTACAATACGAAGGCAAATTCCCAGATAACCCAGCGTGCCGGCACGGTTCGGCACGCGCGTGCTCGTCACGGCGTGCCGTCATAATGCAGGCATAGTGCAAGCACGAAAAGCTACGCACGCCGTGCCGTCAGAATGCAGGCATAATGCTGTCACGAAGCGCTGCACGCCGTGCCTTCAGAATGCTGTCATTTTGCCGCCCTGCAAAATATAATTTCAAATGAAAGCATATTGCACGCATTATGAAAGCACGGCGTGCATTGAATTAAAATAAAATAAATTTATATTATTTTGTATTTGAGATGCAATAAACATCTTTTAGTAGTAATTTTGGATATTTTTTATTTATTTATACAATAAATTAATTATACATTTTAAGATATCTCAAAATTTGTATACGCATATATATACATGCGCATGATCCAGATCGTCTTTTGTTAATATCGGTTATTCGATTTGCGAAGTCCTCCTATTTGTATTGTGTGGGCTGCAGCGAAATTCTGATTTTAGTTCTCTTCCATATATTTTCAAGGTGAGTTCATTTTTATTTAATATAATTATTATTTATTTAATATTGTAGGAAATACTAGTATTTAATATCGGATAAGAATATATAGCTATATACCCCTTATATAGCTATATTGATTATGTATGTAGTGCATTTAATTAAAATGTTTTGAATTAGTTTTACTAAAACCTATTCATAATTTGATGAATAATCTTACTAATTTCAATAAAAAATATTTCATCATTCATTTTTATTCCAGGAGACAAAATTATGTAGGAAAAATGAAGTTTGCTAGTTTTGACACGGTTTCAATGGCTAAAAAAGTAGTTGTTACAACTGAAGAAAATGTAATTGCAGCTTTAAGTGTTAAAATAGGTATTTTTATATTCAAATTTAATAATTTAAATAATATGTTTGTTAGAATAAATTGAAAACTGACATATGTATCTTAATGTCGGACAACTATTATGGATGAGAATACTAGAAAAAGGATATGCTGGTCGCATACAAGCATTCAGTAATGTTACAAGTGGAGAATTGATTTCAGTAAATGGTGTCCCAGCTTTAGTTCGTTATTGCAATTTAGCTACTGGACATATAATAAATGAATGGACATTAGCAGAACAAAATCGAGACAGGTATTATTTTTTCTTATAATTCACTTAATTTATAATTTCAAACTAATTTTTATTAATCTACTCTTCGACTAATGATAATAGATATGACAACTAATGAGTTTAATGCTACATGAATTTAAATATTTTATAATCCAATAAAAAAGTATTAAAAATCACTTTTATACATATTTAAATTTTGTAATGTCTATTTCAGAATTGATTCTCCATTTATATCATATTCTACAGCAGGGCTTTACAATAGTGAAAGGTTTTACTTTGTCAATTTTTTTGCTGTGCACTATTAAATTTACAATTATAAATTGTATGATACACAGAATTTTTCATAAATCTATATTTTTTCAATATCTTGAAATGAGATATTGATAGAATTTGTTTATGTTACATGTTCGATAAAATATGAAATGCATTTTATGTGTATTTTCATAGGCAATTCAATCAAGTAATACTGTTGTAATGTTTGCAGGATTGAAGATGTTTAATGGCACATGAAGGATGGAACCTTACATCACATTCTACTAATTTATAATAATGGTATTGAGGGGTCACCTCATATCATAGTAAAACTGGAGAAAAATTGAAAAATAAGAAAATTTCTGCACCTTTCATATCTCAAGAAGCCGAGTAAATATTTTATATCAAAATTATCTTAATTATTTTAAAATAGAGTTTTTTATTTATGGAGATAACTTATTACAGGTGTATTTGAGCAGCATAAAATTATGTTTGCTTGAAAGGTGACAACAATTTAGCACTATTGTTTTATATCAATATATTTGAACCTAAATCGGAGTCTCAGTCAATAACAATTAACACTATATTTGGCGCCGGTGCTCAAAGACCTTACAAGTTTACACTATACTTCCAGGAAACATATCTGCAATATCTATTAGAGCTGGCAGTAATAACAGAATGCGCGTGGTCTTATTTGAGAAAAGCCCTAAAATTATTTCACGAGATATGGATGGATAGACATTTTGTATGTTACTAATTTAGATAGCAAAAGAGTAGTATATTAGAGTCATCATATCAAAAGGTGAATATAAGAAACTAATATACGAATCTAGCGATGCAAGAAATATTTACTTATTTGATTCCAATAAATATTACATATTTTAGAATAAATGAAATTTGTTTTTAGATTACAAGAATTACCATAACTGAACTTAGCATAAATGAAGCTCAATCTGAAAAATTAGCATATGTAACAAATAGTTCACTATTTAAGCCTGCGATCGTTGCGGCAGATTGTTCTTGTCAATCACAACAAGTGTCAAGAAGGAAAACGTGTAGATTTTTACTCTCCTCTGAGGACAATATACTGTCAGTTTAGTCTAACAAAATATCATCTAGACTAGAGAGGAATCTATCTCACAAATATTGTAACCGTTGAAATTGTTGAGTTGCCAATGTCAGATCGTGATCAAGCACGATCAATATAATTTTAATTGTTTTAGTTAACAGTTCAATGAAATTCCGTCAATTTTGAGTTTCGAGTACATCTTATTCTAATTCAATAAATCAATATATTAACTAACTTTCTTTTACGAATGGTTGCTGTCCGGTCATGATGTTAATAGTTCATGTAAGTAGCATATACGTATAGGCGGCATTAACATTTAAGTGTGGAGTTTGATTTTTCATTATGATTTTTTTATGAAAGTATGATTTTAAAAATTTGAAATTTTCATCTTAAATTTTTCGTCAGCATGAGGGTTCTAGTGTTTATTAAGCGTTTGAAAATATTATTTTCAGGCATTTGAGTATCAATATAAAATCAACTATATTGTTGAATTATTATTAGATAACAATATTTTTTTAGCGTGTTAACTCTTTACAAATAGATTTTTTATTAGTTTAATTTATTTAATTGTTTTAGTTTTGTCAAACGTTGAACTGACTAAATAAACTGATGTATTGCGTTCGCTAGGCTTTAATTTTTAAGTTATTGCAGTATTCTTTTGAGTTGTTAATATCTAAATTGTTGATTTATCTTCTCTTTTAGAAGCAAACCAGATAAGCGTTTTCATGCAAGGAACTTTGGGCTTTGAACCACAGTAATCAAATCAACGAGCCGATTTAGTTCGTGATAAATTTGGTTTACATAAAGTTATTGTAGCTGTTACATCGTCAGGGAAGGTGAAACTGTTATATCAAACTTGAACGATAGATAAACTGATTTTAATTTTCGTGTGACTTATATTAACAATTTATTATTATAGCTGTACGGAATAGAGTCAACGAAAGGTGAAATAATTTGGCAATCACAAGTCTATAACATTAAAGGCTTATCTCAGGATTTTAACAAGATAGTTTTGTATGTTCAACGTGGAAGTAGGCACTTTCCGCATCCACCTCAGTGCGCATTGCTTGCAATAGGTAACGTAATTTTTAATTTTATCCGCATTTTCAATCGTGACCTTTAAAGTCGACGTAAAATTAAGAGTATTATTAATTTTGTAGACCACTGGAAATGGAATGATATATACTTTCAACCCAATAAACGGACAAAGTTGAATTACCAAATCAAGCAGTCAATTTTGTTACATGTATTAACCGATATTTTTCTACGTGGTATAGTTATTTTGAATGAGCACGACCGAGCGCACGTCTTTCCAGAAAGTGCAAGCGCTGTTGCAACTTCTGCTGGACGTACTACTTACATCTTCACTGCCGACAGAAAGACTGGTGTATTGTCCGGATACTCGCTTACTTATAGCAACTCGCAGAATCTAATCGCTCACAAGTTGTGTAAAACTATTTAAAAGCTTAAAAGCTTCCACAAAGATTGTGATATATTTTTAAAATTCATTGCCTTCGTTCAGGTATGGGAATTAGTTTTCTTGTCAAAGACACAACGGATAACACATGTCGTCTCAAAAAGTTCAATCGAACGTGTTCATTCGCAGGGTCAAGTGTTGAGTGATCGGTCAGTTTTATACAAATATATCAATCCAAATCTGGTTGCTGTCGTGACTCAAGGAATAGGTGATGCTTATAAAAGTTAATTTATTACATCTATAATAAAAAGGACTTTGCGAAAACTAATTATGTTTACTCAAAATCTTGTTTAATTATTTATAGATACTCTCAATTTGTGTCTTCTTCATGTCGTACCTGGATCAATGATTTTCTCCATCGTGCACAAGAGAACCAAGGGACCAGTACATATTGTTCATTCCGAAAACTGGGTTATTTATAGTTACTTTAACGATAAAAGTCAAAGAACGGAAATAGCTACGTAAAGAAGCTACGGAAAGAATTGTATGAGAGAAAAACTCGAAGCAATACTACAAGTAAATTGCTTAAAATAAAAATTGTTACATCCATATCAATTCATATTTAACACTAACAATAATAATTTTATGTTGTAGTTTTCTCATTATTAA